TGCGCCTTTGAGTTGTTGAGGTCGGAATCGGACTGTTTTCGCCGGTAGTCCTCAATGTATTCCTTGACCGCCGAGACCAGTAGGACTATGCCGAGCGGAACAATTGTAGTGAATCGCGACGTGGGTGAGATACCGGGGATCTGTTGTAGGATGGCAGTGAATAAGAAGAAGAGGTTGGCGTATTTGGAGAACTGCTCGTAGAGGAATTTGGGGAGGAAGGTGACGACGTTGTATTTCGAGGTGGAGATGTGGTTGTCGACGTATTTGTTCGCGGCGTTCGCAGGCGGGTTGTTCAGGTGGATGATTCGGGGCCCCAGTGTGGATGGGTCTGGCGCACCCCGACCGAAGCCGAACTTGAACGTCCCCAGCCCCTTCTTTGTCTTTGACGACTGGCCATCGTCGCGTGCGCTCGCGGTCGCGCTGGGCTGCCGTTGGTGTGCTGCATTCTCAGTCAATGGAAGGTCCATCTCAGAGTACTCGTTCCCCTGCCCGAACATATTCTTGACTCTCCCCGTTAGGCCACCTCCGAGACTCAGGATACTATTCCTGTTGTGCGCCTTCTTGGATGCCCCGCGCTGTATACCTGGTGAAGCCTGATCATACGCCCCTCCTGCAGCATAGTAGCCCTGTGTTGAGGCATCGTCGTCGTGTGGTATATCTGCGTCCGAGTACCGTTGGTAGTTGTTCAGGTCCGACGTTTGCGAGTAGGCTCTGTTATTGTTTGCTCCCCCCAGATAGGGCGAGGTACCCGTTGGTGCGCCAGGCCCGCCCGGCAGGCCTGCCGTCGCCCTCCCACCCCCAACAAAGTCATCGTAGGACACCGAGGGCCGGCCCTGGGGCGCCGCGTCGGAGCTGTCTATGTCGTACCGGTGGAGGAGGTCCTGGTCGTTTGCGGGTGGTGGTGCGCCCGAGTAGTATGTGGGTTGGTGGTCGTCAAAGTCGATCAGGTTCTCGCTGTGAGACGGTCCCCCCGGCGGCCGGCTGGCCATAGCGGCCGAATGTTGTGCTGGGCGTCTGTCTCCGAAGAGCGCGGCTTCTCTACCACTTCATGTACGGGTCGCCAGTGTGTCGTCTGCGCTGCAGTGTGTTGGCGCGTCGCGGAGGTATACGGAGTACGGAGGTCTTGCGGAGCTTCCTCGTAAGCCGCCCTGGTAATAGTAGTCACACAGCTTGGCCGGCGTTTCGGAGTTGAGTTTGTACGGGTTGCGCGCAATGTGTCGTGATCGCATGTATATCGTGGAAAAGCGAACGTCAACCTTTCACCGGCGCTGGCAATGGTCGCGGATTTGTTTGCAAGGTTTCGCTGCTTGCCCGTCGTCGAAAGATGGAGGCACGGACCCAAGTGCTGAGGCAGTGCCTACCCCGATCCTGGACAACCTGCTGCAACCGCGCCCCTGGGGTCTCGATATATCGACGAATGATATCGGATCTCCTTGGCCGTATGTCTCAAATTGCACCACGCTGCACGCACGCGCGAATGCTGCAAACTACCCTACTTGCAGCGACATTACGCGGCGCCACGTTGTGGGGAGAGATTCGGTGGAGACCCTGACGTTGCGCCAAGTCTGCATGCTGATACTCTCAACAACGCTCTTCATTTCTTTTGCTAGGGCCTTGTTCTAGAATACACGAGTCCATCCATCAAGATGTTCGCCATGCAATGCGCAACACTGTTAACCTCCTGTTAGTACCAAAATACCATTCGGCTTGCCGGACTGCGCCAAGTACCGACGGCTTGTAAGGCGGGCACACTACAATTTCTCTCAGCCCGGTTCGTGCTGCGGCATGTTGAACTCATCGAAGATGATCAGATCTAACCGACAGAACGAATCTAGAATTTTGCTCATATATCAAAGTGCCGAGCTCATCAAACTGTGCATCTGCCACACAGTCGAGAATGTGCATTTTGCAAGTGCATCGACATGCTTCTTCTGAAGAGTTGACGTTAGTTTTGACGGTTAGGACTATACGGATCGTTGGTAGAGTGAGGCTGTGGCTCGTTCTCGTTCACTCGTATGTACTCATGGCGCAGCCGATGCGCCCAAAATAGCACCATGTATTCGTGGCCTGTAAATCGTTGCATATCCGCCCCAAGGCAGTGTAATTTCTTGATCATGGTACCCGCGTACAGTGACCGCGGTTTGAAGACTACTTGGTAAGTAGTTTCCGTCGAGTTATCTCACTGTCACAACAGACCGTAAGTTCGGAAAGTAAACGTCTTCAATGTAAAGTAATCAATACAGCCATGGCCAATAGCCAGGAGGTTAGGGTGATGATTTACCGAGCATGCAGATGGTTGGTGTTCCACTAATGAAATTTTCCAAGCGTCCCGCGGACATCCTCCCCGCCCCGCCCACTATACTTCCAGTCATGGCAAACTTCATCATAGAAAGCTGTACAACCATGCTCTCGAGCTAGAGATGGCGCTGCTTGGTATATAAAGGTTACTAGAAAACAGCCTTCCATCGAACAATATTACTAGCCCGGCTAGCTCAATCGGTAGAGCGTGAGACTCTTAGTCTTTCACGGTCTAACAGACACGATTACTCAGTACATCTCAAGGTTGTGGGTTCGACCCCCACGTCGGGCTTGTACGTTCTAGCTTTTTTGTTCCGATTCATTTGGTCGCTTCAGCCCTTTTTTTGGTGTTGAGGATGTTGCTGAATGGCATTTCCACCACGTCAGCCTTTTTACCCCACCACCACACCCTACAAAGCTGTATCTGCACACTAGAACTGTAGCGACTCTGCTCTAAGATATCATTGTATTTTCAACATTTTTTATTTAGTATGTCATTGTCCGCTCGCTCCAACACGACGTAGGCCGCAATGCTCACGTATTCTACACGCCATGGGATACGACTCGATTGTTCGAAACATAAACAGCAGATGCTAGTCTTGACATCTGCGTACATTCTTGCTTGTTCATTGATATTCACAACATAGGTTCTTGAGACTAAGAGTCTTGCAGTGTTCCAATTCTCTTAGGCGTCACCGATAACCACTACAGTGAATTGTCTACTCAAGCCGACGCCTGAGCGCGACCGAGTCTGTTCTTCTGTCACACGACAAGCGTTATGAACTTGCGATAGACTTAGTCTGAAATCCACACTGCCTTCTACATTCGGTTGTTCTCCCACCTAGGCGCCTACCACTTACCACAGCAATTATTCTCAACCAAGTAAACTGTCATGTCGTCGGCTAACAACATATGTCTTCATGGACGCGAAGCAAACACTATTCACGGCGTTCTTCATCACCAACTCCTTGCTCGTCATTGTCTCCTCGACGATGCCCATCACGCCATCGGACTAGACTACACCACTGCGCCTAATCTAGGTTTATTCTCTCGGCTTCCGGTCGAGTTGCAACAGCAAATTATCTTGCACATGGATGTTGCTACTGTATTAACGTGGAGAAGGGTCAACAGAATGGCAATGGACTTGGTATCTCAAATGTTTGAGTGGAAAGAAGTGAGTAAGAGATACTTAGGGTATCAGCTTTCGGTCTAACGCTGTAATCCTAGATCATCGCACTCGCTCCAAACACCCTGAGAATGGCCATTGGAATCCGCTCACAGGCCACGTTCGGTCTCGCTGACCTTCATACCGCCCTCCACCGCCGGATCTGTGATACCCAGGGCTGTGACACCGATACCGCACAGTATATCAATATGAAGACTTTCACACGTCTCTGCCATAACTGCTTCGCGGAGCACGCATGGTATGCAAAACACGTTGTTTCACTCGCGTTGATCTATAGCCGCTACGCGGAAGAGAACAGTAAACCTAGGGAGGAAATTGCTGGGTTGCTTAAAGTACCTGTTACTGAGCAGATGGTCTTCGTTTATATGGGCCCGCTGTAGAAGTGAATACGATGTTGCAGTGAAGGACTGTCAAGGTATCGATGGCGGAGATGCGGGCAAAAGCTGAGCTGGTGGGTTGGCGTGGAACGAAGACGCGTTACTAGGGAACAACTAAAGCTGGGTCGCCCTTTGCTGTATGCACGCTATCAACTGTCAACAAAGAATTGGTATTGAAGATGATGTATACTTCAACCTAGAGTATGTTCTGCAGAACGTCCAACGCAAAAAGATTTTGTCGTCTCCTAGTCCTGAGGTAGCGACTCGCACATTGCACGCCGAGGTGACGTAGACTTCTGCGTCACCACAACTTTAGCAAAAAGATATCTTCCCAAGCAAGTATACGAACAGTCTCCACGTCGGCGCAAAAGAGAAGCAATAAAGATGATGATGAATTGGACATGGCGGAACTCGAACCCGCGTCTCCCTGCACATTCCCTTACCTGAAGCAAGTTCAACGGCTTTACGGGTGCCTTGCCATACTTTGTTCTGTTGAGTCTAGACCACATGCCCTTGAAATGTTTTTGATGACTAATCTTAGGGTTGAATGGGATATGATGATAGTGAAAGAAGATGAGATTGAGTAGAGTGGTGGCGGGTCGGCTTCACCTGGACAGTACGTAGCGCTCGTCAGTACTGATGATGTCACTGCTTGCTTCTACTGCTTTCTCGACACGAGTATCTAGGTATGCTTTCAGATTAAGCAAAGTATCGGACGTCTCCTGGGGTAAGAAAGCGAATTGTGGGATGGTATTGCTTGTGCTACAGTACGGACTTGGTGAACGTGAAAGTCCTAGTCCTCTTCACCACACCAAGTCTCTTCGCTGTGCTCTTTTCCATTTTGATGAGCTTGTAGGAGCCTCTCCGACTGGGACCGTCGCATGTTTGTTGAGATATGTGGAAGGCTCCTACATCGCGAAGGTTCATGTCTAGAATGTTTTTTTGTCTTGTTGGTTAAGGCGGAATGGCTGCCGTTTGTAGGCGCGCATTGAAACTCGGATGGCGAAGTCGCGTTTGATCTGGGTGCGGAACGGGGGTGTTGAAGATGATGTATGCTGGATCTGTCGCTCTTGTAAGTTGGTGCCTTCATAGCAGGTAGGAAGAAACTTGCCTGTAAATCAATGTCTCTGGATCTCCCTTTATGACAGCAAGCTCAGGACAGTCCCCTTCAATGTCCCAAATTTCTTCTCCAACTCCTCGTTCTCCCTTTCCACAGCCTCAATCTCGCCTTCCAAGTTACAGTTCCTCTGCTTTAAATCCTTGTCCCCAGTAGTCTCCTTCTTTAACATCTCGTGACTTCTCTCTAGTAACTCATACTTTCTTTCAGCCTCACTCATTCTCTCCTTTGAATCCTTCTTCGCCCACTGTAACTGCCATTGCAACTCCCGATTCTTCCCCTCCAAATCCTTGCACTTCGCTTTCAACTCTTCACACTCTTTTTCTACCAGTTCGGTATTCTCGTCCGCGTTTGTCGACATGCTCGCGCGGCTCAACTCGTCGCTCGAGTCCGACTTGCGCTTCTTTCGTGATAGTTGAGGGCAATCCTCGCTCATGTGTCTTTGATGACCATGCTCCCCACAGCTGTAACAAATGTGAGATTCTATCTTACAACTAGGGTCGTAACAAGGAGGGGCCATGTCGAGTGTCTGCGTAGGTCGTTGTCGTTGAGGTATGAGCAGTGAAGTTGTAGGTCGATCGAGAGCAGCTGATGAAAGTAGTGAGAAAGTATGAGGGAGCTGATCGGAGCGAGAATTATTTGGCAATTTTGAGAACCATTAGCGAAGAACGTACCTTGAAACCACCAACAGACCCCACCACAACAACCAATCCAGTGTCGCGCATATAGGAAGGGTCACTTCAATTACGTCTGTATTTGAGAAATCTGTAGGGGCTTTCTTCCATCGTGTTCCAAGTCATTCTTATTGCTGTGATAATGCGCGATGATGAGACGACTCAGCCTTGACGAAGACCAGGCCTAGATAGCTCTAGATCCAAGACATCGGTGTAAAGTCATCCCATTCGAGAGAAAGAATGAACACCCTAAAGCCTACATTGACTTTAGGTTATCTGTTTTGCATGTCTTCATCTTATTGTAGGCTGCAGTCCTGTTCATTTTCTTCCCTGTGTGAGGTACAGTCAAGCGCATTGTGGCTGAGAATTACTGGTATTTAAGATGCTAGGAAAGCTTACATGAACAGTTTCTCCAAGACTAGTAATACAAAGGAAATGTACCTAATGCGTTGCGATATTACCGTCGCGCATTTTCTCGACGAATGCTTGAGCCAACTTATTCGAGGAACCGTCCAAAGAATCCAATACAGTTTTCCACTGACCTTATACTCTTCGGGTAGTATTCATCGAAGCCGTGGGTAGCTGCAAGTTCACAATCGCCATCTACGAGTTGAACCTGAGCTGATCCTAAGTTGACCTCGTTCCCAAAAATGTCATGTATGTCGATGATGATGCGACTCAACTGTACATCTGCGGCATTGAGTGCCCTGAGAATGTTCCGATCCCATGCTTCTCTATACCCGTACTTATGCAGGGCTCCTTCAAGCAGCGTCGCAAGAGTGAGGGCTGCGTCATATCGCCATATAAGGCCACCATCGCTTTCCTTGACCTTGAAATAGTCGATTTCGCATACGAGCATGTTGATAGTGAGGTACAGGTGGTATGACTCTTGATCGAAAAGTTTCTCTACGTATTGCTCATAGTTTTGCAGTTGTGCTTTCGCAGCACTCGGGTCAACCCTACGTAGTTGGGTGTATCGTAGATCTCATCATTCTCGTCAGTACCGTAGAGCAACGCTCAAGATCTCTCGATAAGTAAATTACCTTTGTGCAGACACTGCAATTTCGGTGCGGCACAGGTATCCGCGGTAGTGCTCTGTGTGAAGGCTCGCCAGCGTTCATATTTGTTGTTTGCTTCTTCCAAGTCTTCGCGCAGCAGGTCGATCTCTTGCCGCGCGCGCCGCAGCTGTTCCTGCGTGTCTTGTAGTGTTTGACGCGTCTTACGCAATTCTTCTTGCGCTGCGATGCCACTGACGTCATCTTCGTTTTTCGGGCATTCTTTGCGAAGATGTCCAAACCCGCTGCAGCCGTAGCACTGTATGTTGACCTTGTCAGGGCAGTCATCCATGATGTGACCTTTCTTTCGACAATGGAAGTAAGTTGCCAACGGACAATCCTTGACCCAATGTCCCTGGGCGTTACATTTGAGGCATCGGCCGCTTCCAGGAACAACTTCGCCGGCGTAGTCGTTCAAGCCTGGGCTTGAAGAACGTGAGCGTGGAGGCGAGCTCATGATGCTGTCGCGTGCTGCATGGGAGTGTTCGCGAGCCCTAACAACCTCCGAAGAAAGAGTGCTTGCAAAATAAGAACTGGGTACCATATGCGCCATGCTTGCTCATGGATAGATGTCTTTGTAGGAATTCGCGTTGTGTTCGAAAGGTACGCCTGAGGGTCGACGACGACATACCCACCACATCGCGGGCGCGACGAGTCGCGTTTCAGAAGACCTCGTGCTTGTCACGTTCGTGCCGTGCTTGTCACGTCCCGCCGACTAGGTTTGAGATAGTTTAGCTGACATGGAATGAACACGCATGGAAGTATAAATGCATCCGGCTTACACCGAAACCGAAGATCAGACGAATTCCCAAGGTCTTCGAAGCTTCAGCTGGTGCAGACACTGCCCAGGTGGTATAAAGCCGTTGTGACAGCATCTAACAGGCTCCAAGACGTGCATCGAACACGAAGAGATATCGTGTCATAGATTGCGCTTCGTTGCTCAAAAGCATACAAAGGTATCGAGATTGCAGAACATGAAGTGAAGGGCCGATGTGGACGTCGCGGTGGAAGATAGTTCGCGCTAAATTCTGGGGCTCACGGGAAAACCTACGGCTACCCCCAGGATATCTTATACCCACAAGATACTAGGAGTTAGGAAAGCGAAGAAATGGCATAGTAAAGAAATGTATGAGTGTGTTCAGACTGTTTGCTGCAGGCGACCATGGGTGGTTTCCACAAGTGAACTAGCGTATCACATGATCGCGCTAAGGCATCTCGCGCAGACGCTGGAACTCCGCTCCTCCCCGACGCTGAACCTACACTTCTGTTCGCAAAATGCTATCGTGCGAACACATGCCGCTACCGAGTCCAGCACACAAGCGTCGCAGCAGTTGTCTCTGGCATCTTCCCGTCGTTCTTGGATAGTCGTTTACCCCGCGGTCAGACGCGTCGCGAGGTGCGCGTGTCCAGCTTGCGCCGATGGCTTTCGACTTGCTGTTCTACCGGATCCTACGTTACTCTTCGGGTGCGCACTCATGATGCTTGCTTGGAGTTAACATGAGAGCAAATCCTGTAGAAGACGTCTTCTTGACATACCAGTAGCTGTGGTGCCTGTCAACTATCATCTCACTCAATCACCCGCACGCCAATCACGGCATCCAGAGTCATGTCATTCGACATCATCTCTCAACTGGGGTCAGAATCAGGCTTCTAGGATAACTCTTGGTCTTGTTGTCATTGACTAAAGGCCATAGATCATCTTACCTATCACAGGCCCGTTGGGCTAGCCTGGTTATTCAACAACGCACCGCCTACTCTATTACCTCTCTCTCTCTCTGTTTCGCCTTCAGAGATACTGCAACCCCGCGCGCGGACTCCTCGTTTCTGTGTTCATATTGCCTTTACCTTTCTGACATTTTGCGGCTCTCTTACCAGCCTTGTCAGCAAGATTAGCGTCACAATCCATGACTATATCTAGAAGCCGGAGCTCCTCCTCCTCCATCTTTCTTCCACTACAACCGCAGTACCTAAATCCTTCAGCATCAAAGCATCTCTTTCTTCGGTAGGCTTTGGCTTCTTTCCAAGCTTTCACAGTATCTTCAGCTCAGCTAACAATCAACCCCAGCATTTGAACTCTCCACGCTTCCAACACAGGCCATTGATTATGGTACACTTTCAAATCTTCAGCCGTGAAGAGTACCTTGCGTACGCCAAGTCCCAACCCGCTCTACAACCATATCGCTCAGCCACTGAGACTCCGCCTGATCATCCTTGGTTTCATATCCCGAGAGCGAAAATCGATGATGAAACCAAGGAGTTCTCTCGTGTGGCAGCCAAATGTCTGAAAGGACATCCACGTGACGACAAAGAGCTGAAGCACCTTTACGAGGCAGCGAAGGCGCTTTCCCAAGTCCCCAAGGGAATACCTATCCCAGTCGCATTCGTTGGACCCCAAGGTGCTGGAAAGAGCCTATTACTCTGTGCCTTGTTTGACTGCAATGGTCTTTCGTTGACTGGTGCAGAAGGCAAAGCCTGCACAAGCTCTGTTATCAGGTATCTACATTATCCAAAGAACCAGGACGGCAGCACTGCGTTCCTTGCCGAGATCAAGTTTCTGGATGCGAAAAAGCTGGAAGCCATGTTCGCTGAGCAGTGTCGGAACTATTATTACTACCACAATGACGACGACTCTGACGACGAAGAGGATCCCTCATTCAGAGAGGACTTCAAATCGAACGATAGCGACGGGCTTAAGGATACTGCAGAGGACATCCTTAGCGCTATCTTCGGTTCGAAAGAGAACTTCGAGGATCATTGGAGTGCCGATTCTTACAAGAGCGGGGAGTTTGTCCGGCTGTGCCGGCTCAAATTCGAAGAAGCACTTCAGAAGGAGAACACTAGCAGCCAGGGAATTGCTACCAAGATGGGAGTGACTCAGCATGAGCTCCTGAAGCGGATAAAGCCGTTCATCACTCAAGTGCCAGGCGAGCATTGTCTATGGCCTCTTGTGGACGATGTCACTGTCTACGCTTCCCATCAATTGCTTGAGCAGTCGCTGGAGTGTCTCGATCTGCCAGGTGAGTCATGCTATTGATCTATCTAGGTTTTCCCCGCTAACTTGACAATGATAGGCTGTGGCGACACGAACGCACAGCGTGCCCGACACATCGAAGAGCTCAGAGAGCGCGTCAAGTTTGAGATCATCATAGCCGACACTGCGCGCATCGAATCTGACCAGTTGTTCATCAAGCATGCACGTGCTGCAATCAACCAGCATGGCGCAGAGAACGTGCAACTAGTCGCTACGAAAATTGATGTGAGTTGAGATCATCGAGGTGATACGGCTCATATGCTAACAGCCTCAAGGATCTAGACGAAAACCAGCTTATGCAGTATACCGGCGAGCCTTACGATACATTGAAGCGGCTTATCAATGAGACGACAGAAGCTGAGGATGAAGCGAGCGAAGACGACGACATCGAGAGCATGATCAAACGTGAACAGCTCGCCAAGTACAAGAAATACCTAATGCAGACTTTGAAGCAGGTCAAGGTAGCAGAGCGTGCGGAGAACATTTCTGCTGGCGTCGCTTCGAAGCTTCAAGGCCGTACCTTGTCCGCAACCCCGAACCTTTGTCATACATCCGCCTACGAGTACATGCAATGGACAACAAAACCGAAAATCACCTTCAAGAATCAACCATCGCTATCCCCAGAGGAGACCGGAATTCCTGAATTGCGTAAGAAGCTCATGTTGCTTCCTGCAGATCAGAACCTACAACGCTATTACGACCACGCTCACGTTGCACTGCTAGCTTTCGTTGCCAAAGGTGAACGTTCAGTGAAGTTTAACGACCGAGACGGCGATTTTGGAAAGATCGCAGACCACGTCGAATCGCTGGGTCAGAAATTCCTCAATCGACTCCACAGTCAAACCAAAACGTCATTCCAAAAGATTTCGGATTTGAGCGTCTCCAAGTTCAGCTCAGACATCCCCTTGTTCAAGAACAGAACAGAGGCGAAAGTTGAGCAGGACTGGTGCAAGTTGACTTTCTTCGCCTTCAACCGGGTCCTCAAAGGGAAGGGCATTGTTCCAAAAGGTGCCACCCAAGCCAAAGGTCTTGCGCAAGGTAGGAATTGGAACCAAGAGCTGTCAGAGATAATGGCCCCAGGTTTCAGTAAATGGTACAACGCGCATGTTTCCTACATGGAACCGATGGAAGACTCCTTACGCATCGCTGTAGATCAGCTGCACAACAAGACCATGACGGTTATTGACGACTCCACTGCCAACATTGTCACAATTGAGAAAGCGAAAGCCAAGTGGGGACCCTACCGAGAGAAAATCAAGGCCAAGATGATGATTCTTGTAACCGATATCCAGAAGATCGAGAAGCGCGCACTTGGCTGGGCCATTATGCAGTATGGTCAGCACAACAACCTTGTCGGATCGATAACTGATGACTGGTATGACGATATATTTCACGCCGCTCCCGCCCTTAAACCCGCTGTTCCCGGCAAAGGCAACAAACCAAAGAAGCAATACGTGAAGCCTGGGAGATTCCAATATCAGAAGAACCGGATGGTCAGCCACTTCCTCAAGTCTAAGGATCATTTCGTTGATAGAGCTGCCAAGTACTTCCAAGCGCAGTTCGACCAAGACATGAAAGAGCTGCTCGATAAGCACTTTGCCGACATCACCATGCAGCTAACGGAATTCGCGGCACACCTCCGGACTAGAGCTCCACTCGACTATGTAATTACAGATGAAGGCAAAGCCATCAGAGCTGACTTCAAAGACATCATCCCAGACCTCGTGAAGAGGGCCAAGTCTATTCAGAGTATGATTCCGGAGCCCAAGAAAGGGAATAACGCACATCCACAGGCTACGTCTTCTCACCATCTCGCCGATGTCAAGTATGACGGTGCGGAGTTCCAAGCTATCTACGACAAGATGGTCAAGCAGAAGAAGAACGATCAAGCACAGGCTACCAAGCATAACATCAAGCGAGAGGACGGAAACCAGATGAAGAGGATCAAGCACGAGCAGGACTGATCTTCTCGGTGGATACCCCCAGGACCAACTTTGGATCATCTACTCGTCAACTACGGTACCCACGAATTCGGCAATGTGTCTACGCGCGCAAATGGGATGGTTGCGGATACATACCATCCTTTCTCTACTTCACTTTCCTTGTTAGACAAAAGTCGGAGCCACGCTGCATGATTGCATTCCACTTCGGAACCCCGCCGCGATCGCTGTGCAGGCGTATGCAAAACATCGGCCACGGAATGCGATTTTTGCTTTCCTTCTAGCGCTTACGGTGTTTTCTTCCAGCAACAGCAGCAGTTAGTTTAGCGATTTCTTTCCTTCTGTTCAGCAGGCGACTTTGAGCCCACTCTTTGGGTTCGGTCTATCCTGCGCAAAAGTTTCTCATCATCGAGCCATCTTTCTTACATACTCAGTCATAGCAACATGAATTACATTCAAGATGTCAGCGAACCTTTGCCTCCAGTTCATGATTTACGTGATCAACCCGGTCGTCCACTCGATATCTCTAGCTCGGTGCCTCTGACACGCTGCAATCACTCACGCTCTTCCAATGTGCACTGAGATATTCGTCTGTTAAGAGGAATTGAGAGGGATATAATAATAGTCGCTAACAAAAATGTGTATGTATCCAGCACGCGAAAGATGAAAGGAGAGTCAAAACCATACAGTACACCAACAGCAATCCACATCTCCTACTCCAAACTCAGAAAACACCAGTATCGTATATCCACCACCCATCTCCTACAGCCACCATGATCCCCCACGCAAACCCCTATGCTCCTTCTTCCGCAGGTATCATATAACACCCCTCTACGCGCCATCCCCCCACAGCCCAACAACCTGCATCGCAAACGCGCAACCCGCCAACCCCGTCTTAACCCACTCAACCACCTGCTTCCGCTCCACCGCCAAGCGCACCTGCTCGCCATTCACCTCATCGCCCTGCGCCTCCAACTCCATAACCTGCCTCTTCTCATTGCCGCCCTCGGTCAGACCAACCGCATAGTCCACACCGGGTCCAGACACAAACGCAAAGATGGATGTGTAAAGTAGGTATGGGTGCCGGAAGCGGGCGGGCGAGAGACAGTAGGCGGAGAAGAGGGTGAAGGTTGTCATGTGGCGGAGGTAGGAGGATAGGTTTGTGGATTTGGTGGTGAGGTAGATTAGGGATGTGCGGGCGTTTATGGCGGTGGGGAGGGCGAGGAGGGAGGGGAGGGCGATGGTGGAGACGGTTGCTGAGACGCCCTGAGGGGGGTGTTAGTTATCTGAACAGTGTCTTCTGGGGTTTGTGCTGGGGGAGTTGGTATACGGAGGGGAGGGTTGGAGCTCTGATAGCTTTCAAGCGGGGAGCCTGGAGAAGTGAAGTGGCGGGTGGTGACTTACCGTTGCGATTCCTAGGGTGATTGTTCCGACGAATTTACATATTGAGACTGTTTGAGCGGCCATTGTGATGGTACCGAGAGGGTTTGCGAGAACGGCTTGCTTTGACTATCGCGAGGTTTCTTTGTCGTGGAGTTATCTGTTGGCAATGCAGGTTGACGTGCATGCAGCGCTTGGAAGATTGCGGAGATGCTGCGGGCATCATCCGGAGCAGGCTGTCATCTTTCGGAGAAATCGAAATGGCCCAAGCTTCCCCTTCCCAGAATGCGGAGAAGAGCACATGTCAATCAGTAATCATAGGCCACACGCCCTATAGAAAGAAAGATGTTGATTCATTGTCAGGACGCTCCTTACCGTTCATACTCTGCACAGTCTCTCAAACCTATAAAATGCAGTCGATGCGCGCAATGTATCGCCCTGGGCGGATCGCAAGCATCAAGAGAGTAATCTCGCCAGTCGTACCTCGGCTTACAACACCAACGCGTATCCTGCACGCATCAGCCGGGGCTTGCGGCCGTAACTTTCACACGACGTGAGCAACCTCAGCTACTTATACTCCACTCCGTATTCATCTCCGCACTCGACGATAACTCCCAACGTCATCACCTGCTCACTCACCACCGCCAGTCCTGCACGCTTCCAGTCCGACGACCCCGATAGCACAGAACCCGCCTGGAAAACACCGCGCACCATGCCTATGGAGAAGTACCAGTTTATGAGCAATGTCTGGAGGGATGGCATCTTCGGTATGTCTCACGTAGACGTGGATAGGCAGAGCTGGCCTATAACCACAGCTCAAACAGCCCAACCTCTCCATCAAAGCTAACAACCACTCCAGACAACAAAGTTGTCTTCTGCACCGGCGGCGCCGGCACAATCTGCTCCGCCCAAGTCCGCGCCATGGTCGCCCTGGGCGCAAACGCCTGCATAATCGGGCGCAACGTGGAGAAAACCGAAAACATGGCCAAAGACATCGCAACCGCGCGCCCCGGCGCCCGCGTCCTCGGCATCGGCGCCATCGACGTGCGCAAACCCGAACTGCTGCAAGAAGCCGCCGACCGCTGCGCTCGCGAACTCGGGAGCCTGGATTTCGTCATCGCAGGCGCAGCCGGCAATTTCCTCGCGACCATCGACCAGATCAGTCCGAATGCGATGAAGAGCGTTATCGATATCGATGTGTTAGGGAGTTATAATACGGTCAAGGCGACGCTGCCGTATCTTAAGGAGTCGGCGGAGAGGTATCGGACGGATGGGACGACGCTGCCGGCTAATGGGACGGGTGGGCGTATCATCTTTGTGAGCGCTACACTGCATTACACTGGCACACCGATGCAATCCCACGTCTCGGTCGCGAAAGCAGGTGTAGACGCCATGGCCATGTCTGTCGCTATTGAGCAAGGCCCCCGTGGTATCACATCCAATATCATTGCTCCTGGACCCATTGCTGAGACTGAGGGTATGGCGAGGCTGTCCAAGTCGGATGCTAAGAGTAAGGTTGCTAAGGCCGTGCCGTCTGGTCGCTTTGGATCTGTCAAGGAGATTGCTGATGCGACTATCTACTTGTTCTCGGATGCGGGTAACTTTGTTAACGGTGAGACGCTTGTTGTGGATGGTGGCGCGTGGCATACCGCGGGCTTTGCGGGTGGGTTCGAGTATCCTGATTTCATGCTTAGTGGGGAGAGTGTTACGGGGGTTAAGGGCGGGAAGAAGAGTAAGTTGTAGAGAGGAGATGTAGAGACTGGCAGACGTGGAATTTGAAGAACGATTTTGCGGGCTACGAGGACGCTGAATTTATGAGTTGTACCTTCTGACGCTGCCGTGGAGGCATCCAACAGATCCCTTGCTTAAAGTCGTGTCCATCTAACGGCGATGTATCTATCAGAGCGTCTCTTGGTAACGTATACAGCCCTTTCAGAACGAGCGTCTTCGTCAAGTAAAGTAGTGAGACTGGCACATCTCACATCAAGTTGCAGTTCAAGCGTATGTGACCCGGCCATGTATTGCATTGCGTTCCCTTGATTATTCTCGTTCACGTATAACTGTTGAGGTCTACAATGACGAGATTCGCACCGTGAGTAACTTGGTAAAACGTCCCTGGACGCATCCTTTGCGCCTGTCATTCCTCGAAGTCATCTACACCAGTGTCATGTACATGGAAGCTTTCGGAGCAGCAACAGAAGCTTGAATGAGAGCCCCGCTCATCAGCAGCGTATCTGAAGATGAGGATGTACTTGGTCTCCGCGGGTTCGTAGACTGACGCAATAGAAGGGTATGTATGCGTCTGAGTATAATGTATGATGCAATATATGCATGATAGCAGATGATGTATACGTCTGTTCCGAGGAGTGCTAGGTATAATTCAGAGAGTACGTGGCACAATGTATACATCTATGCTGTATGTAAGACATCACCTACAAAGGCAAACCTCTCTGTCAGCGTTCGGTGCCAAACAGTTGCATTCCTACCCAGAGCTTCAGCCTTTTCAACATTTTCCTGAAAACAAACATGTATACCACGCCTGTTCACAGTCGTTGTGATGCTGGACCAGGCTGACACTGAGGTGTGCAGGCACGCTCGGGCAGCACTAAGTATCCCAGCTGTTGTATAGCGCGCGGCCCACTCCATACCTCGGAGCACTATAACACCGGGAATCGAAATCGAATCTCAACGACTTTTGGACCAGGTTCGATAGCTCAAAACGGAATGAACCTTGTGTCAAGGCTGTAGTGGCTGAGCAAAAGCAAAAAGTATCATCGAGAGAGATCATCAGGTATCGGTGCTGCAATCTCACCAAACGTTGAGAGACTTGTCCAAGGACCTACCTCCGCGTCCAGCTTGGTCGTAAAGGCGGACGGACGAATATAGCAGTCAATCTCTCAGTAAGCATCGCGCCCCAACATCCAAGCATCAGATCGTCGACTAGGTGTATTTTGAGTCTGAGATCATCGACCCTGAGCGGGAACTCATCTCGTCGTCAGCACATCAAAGAAAATCTCACACTTCCCCACGGATCAACATGCCAGCACATCGATCCTACCCAGTGATGCCAGCCGCACATCAAGGCATCCACGAATAAAACCCACTCGTTACCAACTTTGGTCCCGCGGAATGACGAAATGGGTTGCAGTACCAGGTTTGGAGCGAGTGAACATCTTCATCTGCGCCCCTTGACGAGCCGCACACGCCAGGCCTGCGCTCCAGTTTTAATACAAAATGCGCAGCAACGGCTTACCCTGCTCCCCTGTCGATCGCACTATCGATACCCAGGGGTGCTCCTTCTGGACTGGGCTGGTGGTGGCTGGCCATGCATGCGTCATAGCCCTTTTTCAGGAGACAGACGCGAGCGCGCGGTGCCCGGTTAGCGAAATTGAGCGTTTAGGTTTGGCGTGTTTTGGGACTGGCGTGGGCTAAGACGCGTGGTCAAGCGGTGGCTTGCGGGTGCTTGGCCGGCATCTTCGCTGCGGTGGGTAGGGCCGTCGTTGTGTTTGGCTAAAGGTCGGCGCGCGTGTTTGTGTGGTTACTGTGGTGTTGGGCAATTCTCGGAGGGTTTAGGCTGAAGTGGAGGGTTCGTAAAAGAGATGAGGAGAGATAGGGTGAGTGAGCTTCCGAGGGGGAAGCGACTTCATGTTGATTGAAGATGCAGGTGTGCAGACTGGTTGTGGGGTCGTAGAGGTGCCGTTGACTGACACGTTTCGATTCGCGGGCGCGTCGCCGTGCTCTTCGCGCGCCGCTTGAGTGGTGAGGGAGCGACGAGGCTTAACGCCGTTGCTAGACGACGGCGTGAGGGCGCCGGCGCTTTTTGTCATGCGCGCCCAAGCGCCTTGCGCATTTCATGGGATGGCAAGCCTCAACTTGGTTTTGGAAGGTCGCACAGGTAGAGGCATGAATTCTGCAGGTTGTACTCAGGGTGCGGGTGGGAGATACACGGAGGGGATGACCTTTCTTGTACCCTGAACTATAGCAGAGCGGCCAGTAAGCAGGGCTGCAGGTACAACAGGTACATAGCGCGGAGACCTGCTTATGTTGTTTACTGCAGGCTGCAGGTAGCGATGATGTCGCTGCAGGTTGGGTTGGGTGTAAGCGACAGGGAGGCGTCCGATACGACGCCACCGAGGTGTTTAGTATGCCCCGTGCCAGAGGATCAGCATGCATCAAAAGACAAAACATGCAGCAAGTCCCGCGCTGTGCACCCAACCATTACATTCTCTCCCCTTTCACTTCGTACACTCGTTATCGAAAGTGCGCTTATACATTCGTTTGTGTGGTGTTTGGTACAGATCAGAAGTAGTTGGACTGCCCAGGACGGTCGCTTTATCGATTATCGCGAGACATATCAGTTCCGGGAAAGGGTCCGCGTTAGTAACACTGGACACGGGAGCACCAAGACGGCTTTGCGAATCACCGACGGCTTGTGTGTCGTGTCCGCTGCGTTATCGCGATCGAAAGAGTCGTGATCTGCGAGGTGTCCGAGGTAGAGCACGTCATGCCCACGAGATAGGCCGAGTGCTTCACGTTTGACCACACGACTCCATCGTCGAGTTTCAGCACCCACAGCCATCCCACGACGCCGGCGGAGCACCCAGGGCGCCAACCAAAAACCCAGAGTTGGCAGTGCAGGGAGTACCGCGGTTCGAGTCAGACCTAGTGCCAGTGCGGAAGAGGCGGAAGAGGCTACTCTTGAACTAACGGCCAAAGCGGGAGAGATCAGTTAGCCAGAAAGTGCTCCATTCACCAGCACAGACCTCACTTAGCGCTGGTAAGTCCTGCAGCTCCACCAGCTCCCATCCTCAACAGCCGCATCGCCATCAACCTCTTCCCTCTCCACACCAGCTGTGCTACCGGCGACACCCGTCCGACAATACATCACGGGCAGCGATGCTGACGATAGTGTGAAGCATACCAGCAACACCTCGCGCCCACTCCCAGTAGCCGATCCCACCGAGCCGGCGCTTTTCTGCCAGCGACAGGCCCGTACCACCTCACACCACTTCCACCCATCGACCCCACTTGGAATCCTCTCGAGGCCCTCCCAACCTCCATCACCAGCTTCATCGCCCGTTCACGACGTCGGAGGCGTTCAATCGCTGTTCCAAGTCCCCATCGCCCCAAGCGCCCATTCACTACCGAGGGACAAACAGCATTGTCAAGACCTTCGCACAAAGACCGCGCCTATACAAGCGACCTCGATCTCCCCACCCACAACCTCACACATCCATCACCATGGAGCATAGATTCGCCTCGACGCTGCTGGGCTTCCTCGCCTTTTTCGTTCTGCTATCGTCCATCCAGCGCGCAAATGCACAGGGCTTTACGCAATCATATTGCTCCAGTCTAAACACGGGTAGCGATGATGATGTCTGTAAGTGACATGTCAATCCTATCTCCACGATCCACAACTAACGTCTTCAGACACATGGCCATACCAGTCCAACGGCAACTGCACCAACCACTGCAAGGAGGAAGGTACCTATGCCTTTGCCGTTCTAAAATACACCGACTGCTGGTGCTCCAACTACGCTCCCGGGGAGACGGCCGATATCAGCGACTGCCAGAAGGACTGCCCTGGCTTCCCGGCCGAAAAGTGCGGCGACAAGGACAACAACCTGTTCATGTATATCCAAATGGACGGCAAGGTATCCGGCACCATCGGAGGCTCGCAACCCACGTCCTCCGCCGAGCCTTCGAAGACCAAAGACAAACCTACAGAAGCCCCGACTGTTAGTATTCCCCCTCCTCTCTCGCGCGCGTCTTTCTTGTCTTTCATCTCTCTTGGCTTTCTTGATTTCTATGCGTACTCTATCGTGCGACCGGTGTTTGACTTCGTGGTAGTCTGCTCCGGCTCCGCCACCAGTCACTGTGACGCCTGACCCGGAGACTGTCATCTCTCTGGTCACTACGGCACCGTCTTCTACTTCTTCTTCTACTGTATTTGCTCTCAATCCTGTCTGTAGCACATAGCTAACGCATCAAGCAGACCGAAAAGCCATCTGCGACTCAATCCGAAGCCGACGATGAACCGACCTCAGCCATGGCACCTGTCACAACGCCAACCGTCTTGACCGAAAGTGGTCGTGTCGTTACCAGAACAGTCGTCTTCACTCCGACCGCGGCTGCCTCCGAGGAAACCAGTCATGACAGCGGCCCCAACGTCGGAGCCATCGCCGGTGGTGTTGCTGGCGGTGTCATCGCTCTGCTAGCCATCGTAGGTGGTGTACTGTTCGTCCTCTGGCGGAGGAAGAGGCAGCAAGACGAGCAAAACGGCGGACATGACGGTGGTTCCGCTGGGATCTCGCGCAATGTGAGCACCATGAGCAGAGCCGGCCTGCTAGGAGGACGTAGCGAAAAGTCACCGACCCAGCTTGTTACAAACTTCGGTTCGCAACGAAGCCGCCACGACGAGGAATCGATCACGCCCGTTACACCGTCGAGCCGCCGATTAAGTCAACCCATCCTAGTCGACTCGCGACTCAACCCAACCGCTGTTTTGACCTTCCATGGCGCGAACGCCAGCCGGGAAAGTCTTGGAAGTATCGACGACAGCCGAGACTACGGACGACAATTGAACGTGCGAAACCCGGATCCGAACGTCAACTAGGGGAAGAGCTTGAACCACCATCTGCGGACTCGATAATGGGTGCGACTACATCACGACCCGGAAAAACTCCGTACATTCACAGAGCACACCTACCATCAGAAAAGTTGGATGTCACCACCGCGCTACGACTGACGAACCTACAACATCATATCCAAAATAACCAGGCGTAATCCATAGCACCGACGCACGGCCGTCTAGTTTGTTTCATTACTGTCTTTGGGGGCTCCACGCCACACATCTACTCGAGACACTCCTGTCCGGTTCGATCACATCATTAATGGGCGCCAGCATCTGTGTACACTATTTCTCCTTCTTCGCTGGATCTCTGTTATGCGGCAATGTATATACTTATTTAGGGGGCGTGGGAGAAGAACAACATCAGAAAGGCCTCACGGCACTCGGCAGAAAAGGGACACACCTTGCCACACCTAATGGGTCACACCGTCATGGTGTATGGGGATGGCGGAGTCGCAACAGGGATTTGCTGGTAGATTAGTTTTGTTGGAAGAGATGGGACTGCTACGCGTACGTGAATGCGAGTAGCTGCATCACCACTCGATACTTGAATTTAGAAATTACTTGTCAATTTGTGTTTTAGGATTTTCGTTCCTGCTGTTCATTTGTCAACGGCGATCCGAATCATCAACCCTGGCCTTATTGCGTCCCGCCAAGGCGCTAATAACGGAGACACCCAGCACGACCTGTCGCATCTTACACGTTCAACTCAAAGTCAATCTCATCAACCCATTACTTCTCACCATTGCCCTCTCAAACCTCAGGATGGATAAACTTCCAACAGAAGTCCTCGCCGAGATCGTCGAGTTGCTCCGCGATGACCGCAAGGATCTTTGGAGCATCAGTTACACGAACAAAAAGCTGCATGCGATTGCCAACGATATCATATACTCCCGTTATAAGCTTTACTATCAGGAAACGTCGCCGTTCATCCGAGCGCTTGCATCGAATCCCAATCTCCAGCGGTGCGTTCAACACATCAAGTGGAACAGTCCCATCCATGATGAAGGTGCCTTCGAGTTCCCCCGTTGGATCACGGAAGCCGAGTTCGATCAAATCAAGGAGAAAGTGGGATTTCCCTTCCCTGCAACGTGGCCACGACATGCTACCTTCCTCACTGGGAAACTGGTGGAGGTGAATAACTGGATGCGTCTTCGTACAGAAAGCGACCTGTATCTCAGTACGTTCATGTAGTTTACGCCGAACGTCAAGGAGCTTTGCATCTCCACGAAGCAGTGGGAATATGAAGGCATGTGGTTCAAGCAATCGCTGATCGGTAAAATTGGCACAAACCTACAAAAGGTGATACTCGATGGCGGAGCGACCGTTGTAAACCTCCTTCCGCTTTTTCTGCTGCCGAAGATGAAAACGCTGCTCATTGACTGTCTACTGCAATCCCCCCTACACGAGGACGCCGAGTTGGAAGCCATCAACCTCGTTTGGGCACGACTAGAAAAAGAAGGATCGAATCTGGAGCATTTGGAAATCTCTCACACTGCCACCGACATGCTCGATCTCGCCCGCTTGCTGAAAAGCCTCAAAAACCTCAGAGTAATCGACTACAAGCCCGGCTGCGGCGGGGGTTCGGTCAAGAAGAACAACAGAGACGTACAAACGCTCTTCGAAGCCATCGGAAACCACTGTGCGTCGCTCAATAACATGGCCATCGACGACGACCGTCTAGTGATGAACCCAGGCGCGCTTGAACAACTGCGCGGCTTGGAGAACGTGGAGACATTCCAGATGCACACGCCCGTCTTCTACGAAAACTCCATTGCCGTTCTGTTACCAAGGAATCCCTCGCCGAGTCGCTACAACGAAACCTCGGGAACCTGCCCACGCATCTCAAAAACCTGCGCATCTCAACCAAGACGGGTTATCACGACGTGACGGAAACCTGCTTCGATGTCTTGCTCACCCTGGGCTCTGCTATAAAAACTCTCCTCCCTAATCTCGGAACCATTACGTTCTTTGGCTGGCACCCGCAACTAGGCACTTTCCCGTGCCAGACCCGCATCGCTGCCCTCCAGTCTGCGTTTGCGCAGGTAGGGGTAAAGATTGTGTCGGAACATGATACCATGGGCGACTCTGAACGTTGGTACACTAAAACGCGCGTTGGTGCTTCGAGCAAGATTGAAGAAGACTATGTCTGGGTGCATCTTCTGGAGGACTTTGAGGGTGAAAGGGAGAACCCGTGGGTGGCACGGTTTGGGAGCTCGTATAGGGGGGATGAGTTGAATGGCGATGTATGGGATAGTGATGAGGAAGAGGAAGGGGGAGATGATGATGAGGAAGAGGTAGATGGTGATGAGGATGGGGATGATGACAATGGGGACGGGGAAGACAGCAATGGGGACGAGTGGGAAGATGAAGAGGATGACGACGAGACTCCTAATCCCAGTGCGGGTGGCCGGCCACTGAATATGCAAGATATCATGGAGGAAATGGGCATTCTTGCGGCTCAGGGACGAATGCCGGGTATGCCTGGTATGCAGCCAACAGACGACGATAATGAGGGGGATGGAGATGATGGAGAAGAAGGCTCGAACACTGAATTTGGCCCCGGCCGCCCGCTTACCATGCAGGATATCGAGAATGAGATGAGGATCATGATGGGTCAGGGACTGATCTTGAATTTGCCTGGTATGCCTGGTTATAGACCGGAGGGCGGGGATGAGGAACATGAGGAAGAAGATAATGATGAAGATGGAGAAGAAGGGTCGAACGATAGCGATGCCGAGCAAAATGAAGACGACTCGCACAACAACAACGACGACAACGACGATCCGCCACCAGCCCTGAAACCCCTACCCAACGCTAGCCACCTAACCCTACAAGAAATCGAGGAAAATATGAGAACAATGATGGCTCAGGAGCGCATGTTCAAGTTACCTGGTATGCCTCATTTCAAACCGGAAGATCAGTATGACAGTGAGGAGGAGGAAGATGAGTATGACGAGGAAAACGAGGCGGAAGAGTCTGATAACGATGACGACAATGATGACGATGCGCCGCCAGCCTCGCATCCTCAACCTAGCGGAGGTCGCCCGTTGACGAGGCAGGATATCGAGGATGAGATTAGCATCTTGCGGGGAGGGGGCCGCCAAGAGGGATGTGAGTTAATGTGATGGCGATGATGGATTGAGGGATCGGTGGATTGGAAGGTTGAGTAAGGGATGTGGGGTTCTGGGGAGAGAAAGGATGTATCGCTTTCTTTGTATATGGGAGTAGGATATTAGGTAGCATGCGAGGACGTATGTATTCAGCAACGCGGAGTTGGTTGAGATTAATAAGTGTAGTTGAATGCATGCTTGTTGCGCCCCTCACTACTGCGAGGATAGCTTTGTTTTTGCTTTTTCAATACAGACTGCTGATTCTCTTTCTGCGTACATGCTGCTCAGCATGCATCACAAGAATACTACCGAAGTAGCCTATTCCACGATTTTACGGTGCCACTATTTTCAACATATCCATGATATGTCCGCTGAGGCAGATGAAACAGTATAGAAACGATGTCGCGACAAAAGCGACAGCATCAGATTTGGTGCACTTGACTGCGTGGATACCCAAATCACGCAGATCCCTGTGAGGCTCAACTGCACACGCGCCACGCGTTCTTAGGCCCACGTACCCTGAATCTCGACCGCAACACCGACCCCGTCCACGTTCCCCAAACCTGGGACCAGACCTCACCTTCTATTCCACTGCAATCGCACAGTTTCTCGGTTGCCCATCATGAGCAAAATGTGGGAGGTGGATCCGGAGACGCGGAGTAAGGTACGTTGCGCCTTCCACAGCTGAAGGAGGGGGACGTTAGGGGTCAATTGCGGCGTGAAGGCAGCACAGGTGATGAGTCGAGCATGCGCATATGACAGAGGCTGATCGATTCCGTACGCAGTTACTTGAGATACAAAAGACGAACGACAACAACAAGTGCGTCGACTGCAATGCGCCGAGTCCGCAATGGGTATGCAACCGCCCTTCCTCCACCTGCGCACGCGATCACCGCCTACACCTACTAAGATGAACTGTCCTAGGCCTCGCCCAAGCTCGGTATTTTCATGTGCCTCTCCTGCTCGGGTGTGCACCGCGGTCTGGGTGTGCACATCTCCTTCATCCGCAGTATCACCATGGACGCCTTCAAGGGCTCGGAACTCGTGCGCATGGCTGCCGGCGGCAACAAGCCCTTCCAAGACTTCTTCAACACACATCCATCGAATACGAAAGACGGACGCACATTCGAGGCCTCATCCATATCAGAGCGATACGACTCGGAAGCGGGCGACGAGTGGAAGGAGAGACTCAGCTGTAAGGTCGAGGACAGGGAGTTCGACAAGGCAAATCTACCCAAGCGGTTACCCAAAAAGGACAATGTATCTACAGCCGGTATGGGCGCGCCCTTGAGCGGACGCGCCAGCGCAGCCGGAAGCCGAAGCCAGACACCCCTCGGAAAGACACGAAGCAACGACGCAGGTTTCCAGCGCTCGGGTTCCCCCGCCCTCGGCACCAACGCCATGTCTAGCCAGAAAGTGAAGAACGAAGCCTACTTCGCTAAGATGGGCCAGGAGAACGCCAACAGACCCGACGGCGTTGCGCCGAACCAGGGCGGAAAATACGGCGGCTTCGGCAGCGAGCCAGATGCGTGGAAGAAGGACGATGAGCCCGGTGCGCCTCCTGCGCTGGACGACTTCCAGAAAGACCCTGTTGCGGCGCTTACCAAGGGCTTTGGCTGGCTAGGCGCAAGCGTGAGTAAAGTAGGCAAAACGGGGTATGAAGGCTGGGTGAAGCCTGGTATGGCAAAGGTACATCTTCCATCCTCCCAAGAACCCTATAACCCACAACAACGACTAACACATCATGCTACAGCTCGCAGAAGCAGACCTCGCAACCCAAGCCCGCACCACAGCCGGCACCCTCGGCCAAACCCTCCAATCCGGCGTCGCAAACGCAAACACGCAATTCTCGCGCTTCGTCGAAGGAGGCGACTCTGCACATCCTTCTTCTTCTTCCTCTTCTCGGGCCCCGTTGTCGGGTCAGCGCGAACCTGAACGTAAAGACTTTTGGGAGAGCTTTGGTGCGGCGCCAGCGGGGCCGGCGAAGGATAAACAGGACTTTTGGGATGAGTTTGGGAGTGCGGGGGATGCTAGGGCGGCTGGGGGCATGGCTGGGAAGAAGCCGAGTGGGATTGGGACGAGTGCTATGAAGAAGGGGGGTGCTGGTGGGGGGATGGGTGGTGGAGGGGCGAAGAAGGATGATGAGTGGGGGGAGTGGTGAGAGAGGGTTTGAGGGAGGCGTGAGGCGTTTGGGCGTTGGATACGCGGGTGTGGGTTGGGTTGGTATGGTTGGTGGTTAGACAAAGAATGGGAAGTATTGCTATCGGTTTGTGAGGAGTGCTTCATCTTTGGGCTTTGCATGTGGCTTCACTTCGATCGATGGATTTCGACAAGGTCCCCGCTCCAGGTTCAGGTACGCTTTTACACTATACTCATCTTTCATCTGAGTTCACTAGACTTACTTCATGTAGGGTTCCTGTCGAGCGTACCTGGTTCGCTCCTTCCTTGTGATCGCTGTCGAAACCGCACTTTCCCAACAGCCACTCTCACCGTTTTCATGCCTTCCTCCGCCGCGATCTCATCTCATCGAGGCACCTCCAAAACAATCGATACCGCTCAATTGCTTATCCCTAGGGACCGAAGAAGACTTCTGGGATGGGATGACACCATGGACTTGTCGCTGCCGTATTTGACAGAGGTTCTTCCCTCATCAGTGCAGCATTCTGGCCTGTCTTGCTATAGCGTTTGGCGCGACTGCCTTCCTTGCTAACTTCCTGCCCAGTTCAACCGTCCGCAGACGCCTCAACTTCGTCATTCCGCCACGCAAAGCGCAGCAACCACACGAGATGGACCATCTTCTTTCCCCAACCCACGGAAGCTGCCTTCTTCAAGCATATCTCGGTGATGATGTCCGAGATCTGGCTTTAGCGCGTCTCCGGGACCCTTATAATCCCACTTCCTCTCCCGTCTCTCCGTTTCTTCTTCACCCAACCACTCAACGGCAACAGTACCATTGGACAGTTGCTTCTCTTGCACCACTTCTCTACTCAGTTGGTACGTGTCTCTATTATTTCTCGTCCTGACCCTTGGTCTGCACCATGCCAGCACTCGAACCCCTTCGACTTCCTCTTCCATCCGATGCTGCTCAGGGCATGTATACTGACACACCACAGGGTCACATCATACCTTTGAACTGCAACCTCAGTCGAAATCCTATCCTGCCTTTTGGTTGAGTAGCTCGCCTCGTCTTGCTCTTCATCAACAAGTGCTGACGCACATAGTCGATCCTTCTTACCGATCTGAGCCGTCATCGTCGAACTGAGCTGCGGTTGAATACCACTGCCGGTATGTCTTCTCACCTTCCTCTTTCCTCTTCTTTCCGACACAGTATGAACCTTCATTGACGCAAAGCAGAGCTCCCCGACCATGCCTCGCTCCACCCTCGTCGTCGCGAGTGCAGTCCTCGCACTCCTATCTCCCCTCGCCCAGGCCAAGATCAAGAGCGAAATACGCACGTACCTCTTCACCAGCGACGACTGCAATGGACCAACTATCGGCGGCAACGAGGACCTCAAGGTTAACAAGTGTCACGATATTGTCAGCGGCGCCAACAGCATGAGGCCTTCCACAAACAAGCACCAGGAGTGGCTCAACCAGATCAACCTCGGACAGCAAGAGTGCTGGGTCGCCACATACAAGCATCACGGCTGCTCAGGCTACCCATCAATTGCCGAAGAACTCCCCGGGGCCATCGATCAGTGCTTGTCACCAGACGAACAGTTTCTCTCCATAATGTTTGGATGTCGAGACATGAAGTCAGAGAACTTTACGACTACCGTCGTGGTGACACCACCCACCATCGTTACCGTAGCTCCGCAGCCGATCTCAACTTCCTACATTACGGTAATTGAACAACCGGCCTCAACCACCATTACGGTAATTGAGCAACCGGCCACAACCACCATTACGGTAATTGAGCAAGCGAAGAATACCGTTACTGTCTATCAGCAGCCAAACAATACCATTACCGTCTATCAGCAGCCGATCACAACTTCCACCGTGGTCACCGAGGTTGGGGTTGTTGGCTATCTCACGACATGGATGCACGCCGGCAGCTCCTTTACCAACTACGTCTCTACTATCTTGACGACTTCCACCAAGACTTTGTATTCTACGAAGAGGACCGTCCCCACCTCCATGGTGACTATCATGCCCACCTCCATAGAGACTATCACCCCGATGCATACCGGAACCGTGCTTCATAGCTCTCGGCCCCATACCGTAACCGCCTATGTCGAAGACAGCCACTACCCGCGCGAGCGTCGCTCCGACCCTCAGCCCGAGGCCCATGCTCTGGAGCCACGCCGCAGGAGCAAGTGGAAGGGCCCTCGGATTGGTGTATGGATGAAGCACCCTTGGTCCCAGGCGGTCATCTGCTACGAATGCTACGCCAAGGCTCATGACAATCTGTGGAAGTTCGAGTGCCGCTCTGGACCGAACAACCCCGTCTCATGCGAGGGCCCGGTACCTGATCCCAACGAAACCGTCACCGTCACACATACTCCAGATGTCACGGTAACCCAGGGTGCAGCGATCACCAGCATGTCAGTCGTTACAGTAACAGCTGGGCATGCGATTACAACGGTCATCGGCGGCAACCCAATTCAGCCAATGCAGACCATTACGCTCGGCCAGAAGGAAGCCGATCTAGAACGCCGCTCATTCCACAGGGCCGTCAGATTAACCCACCCGTGGTATCCTAACACAGAGATGTGCGCAGATGCTGAATGGGAGGAGCGGGGATCGAAGGGATCAGAAGTCCGAATCCAAAAACCCAAGGAAGACATGAAGAAGTGCACCCCGAAGCAGCAAGTGCAGTTTATCGACGCCACTCCAGAGACGAAGACTGTCGAACTCCCTTACTCTACTGTCTCTGTGATCTTCAGCACCTCCACGGTTTATCCTCCCGCTATCGTCACCGTCGCTCCTCCGTCCGTCGTCACGGTCATTGGCTCTCAACCCGTGGTTACTATCACCACCATCTCGGCTCCTGCCATGGTCACCGTCACTCATAAGTTCCCTCCTGCAGCCGTCACCACAACCATAATCGCCGCCCCCGAGCCACCTTGCACCACCGAACCCTACTCCATAAAAACCGTCTACGTCGACCCTGAGCCACCCTGCACCACCACCCCCGTACCTGTTTCCATCACAACCACAACCGTCTTCGTTGACCCCGAGCCACCTTGCGATACGGTCACCGTCGCCCCCGAGCCACCCTGCGACACGGTCACTGTCGTCGGAAGATCTGCGCCCACGCCCTACACCACCTTCTACTCAAAGCGCCAACAGCTGCGTGATCTCTGAGTTGTCTTTGACTTGTCGGAGTAAAGGAGGAGGACTGCGCTGGGTTGATGATGTTGTCAAAGCATGATTCTGTTTGTATTGTTTAGTGTCGTTTCGTTAGTTGAAGTATGATTGTTGGGCCCAAGGCCACGAAACTGCTCTTGCTCTCTTCTTATATGATATCCATACGCTGTTCATATTTCGCATCGTTTGATGTGATTCCATCTTCTTTTTGCGCCTCAGTCATTGGTAGCTTACGGTCTAGTACTTGGGAAATACCTCGCTGGCTCTTTTTCGTTTACTCCATCTGATTCATCTCAGTGGGTACATAATACATTGGTGCTATTCCCACCAGAATTCTTCCACTACATTCCACTCCAGACTAAAAGAACGGCGAGGAAGAAACACTCGAGAACAAGTCATCCCAATCCACCAAATCAAGCTGTATCGCATCATTCACATGAGAAGAATGCTGTTGCTCCCCGAATCTATCCGGGGGCAAATCTTGCAAAGACTCCACCGCACTCTGGCCACCCACACTACTTCCGTACTTCTCTCCCGTATCCCCAGCATCCCGATACTTCTCCAAAATCTGCATGAGCGACTCATATAACTTCGCCGCTGCCAGTGAATCATCCCTCGCATCAGCAATCATACGCAACCCTTTCGCTAGATCGCGGTCTTCTTGCAGCTCAGCATGTACTTCACCCGACCTATTGACACAAGCATCCATGAGCAAAGCGATGGTAGCGATGAATATACTATACAGCCCCGCCGGAGGCCGTTGGGGCCGTCTCGCAAACGGGTGCCGCGACTGCAGTAGTTTCGTCTCGAGGTATATAAGCTGCCGGGCGGAGTACAGACACGCAGTGCGCGACGAAGGCGTCGTTGAGGTACCCGTCGACGCAGACGGACGTGTCAGCGTAGTAAGATGCAATTTACAGCGCTGAGTGTGGATGAGCGTGTTGAGGAAGTAGGCTTGGATGAAGACGTGGTTTGGCTTCTCAGAGGAAAAGATATTGTCGTAGTAGTCTAGTAGGAAGAAAGCGGGTGTTTCGTGCATTAGTTGTACGAGTTGGCGGTCCATGGTCATGAGGTGGGCGGAGCGTTGGAAAGGGTCGGAGGTGAGTTGGTCGACGAGGGTGCGGGAAATTTCTGCGAGCCGGATGCGTTGGAGGAAGTAGGACATGTCTGTTTGTTGGGAGAGGGGGAGGGAGGGCTGGGGGCCGGTGGGGAGGAGGTCGATGTCGTTGATGTTTAGGGGTTTGTTTACGTGGAAGTGGAGGGGGTTGGTTTGGTAGATGCCGCCGTTGGGTCCGCCGTAGCGCGCTGCGAGGAGCCTAGGGTGAGCGGTCAGTCCGCTTTGTAGCTTTCATGCATCGAATTCTCGAGAAGACACGTACCAATCCGTTGCGGTCAGGTACCACCACACGCGACGACCAATCTCTGCTTTGAGCGTCTGGGCCGCATCGGCATTGGATTCGTGATCGATCCGGTGAAGACCCATTTCCCGACATAGTAACAAGCCAGTTGATATTAAGGAGCGATATCGTAGCGATACACCTTCTATGTTGCATAAGACGTATGACAAGATTATGATGCCTTGTATAGCCTCCAGAGCCAGCGAGGGCCCCTCTTGTAATGTCTCGAGTACAGTATATGTGGCCTTGATCCAAGTGGATGTCTGAGAACGGGCTTGGGTCGAGGACAAGAATAGGGGACGTTGTCTGTTCAGTCCGTCCGGCATACTCCATACATGCGTTGCATGAGCGATGATACTTAGCAGTAGAACGACTTTGCTGGTATGAACAGGCTCACCGCTTTCGATTGGACGGTAAATTTCGTCGTGGACGGTTGGTAAAGAGGGGGTGTGCGTTACGTGTTGAATGTAGTTGAGCTCGGTGATGTAGATGTCGAGGAGTATGGTGGCTTCTTCCCTTAGTGGGAGCCATATACATGGTGTTAGTCTACCGAGTTGCGTTGTGTGAGTCAATTTTGGTGGTATTGTGCGGATCTGACCGATCTTGAAGGTAACATGGTTTGTGGTAGACAGTTCGAAAGAGCTCTGACTCATGCAGACGCCTTCGAAATGTTCTACCATTTCTTTCGTTTCTTGAATATCGGAGGGTTGGTCCATCTCGATTTCGTCTCGAGTGGTTTCAGAAAAGAATGTCGTTCGAATGCTTTCGCTGTCGTCATTGCCGGCCTGCAGAGGAAAGGTAGTCTCTTGTGCGATACGTTCTTCCAGCTCCTGCACACGAATATGGAGTGCAACCATCTCAGCCAACATGCCAGGTCTTCCGGTTGAAGATAAAGGTGTCTGGATGCTCTCATGTGGCTGTTGCTGTGTGAGCGAAGCCCCGATCGAGACTGGTGTCTGAGGGCCTTGAGCTTCGCGTGCCGCTGGCGTAGGATCGAATTGACACGTCTTTCCTCGCGACCTGCAACTTGTGCATGGCAGTGGTCGATCACAGCGAATCTTGCGCGACCGGCAGAAGTTACAGGAGTACTGTCCTTTGCGATTGGAACGTTCTCGCTCGCCGGCAGCTGGCATGACGTTTCTTGAAATCCTGGTAGACAATCGCAATGAGAGAACAGTGGCAAGAAATCAAGAACCATATTCTCTAGACTGGGGAGGAAGATGGTTGGTCACATGAGGTATGTCTGCAGGTGGGTGCCAAGCATACCGCGGGTATTCCGCGGAATACCCGTCAACGGAGAAGCGATGCTGACAGCATATTCCTACCTGGGACTACGCCACTATGGTCACAGAGTCGATCGTAAGCTCGAAGGATTCAGGAAGCAGGAGATCTGAAACGGATTGACCCTGCAGACGGTAAGGATTCCATGGGAGCGTACTTTTCAGTTCACTGGGAGGGTGGCGCTTTCGGGTCTTGATCGTACGGGCCTGCTATCCTTCTCTTTACGACATGAATGAGCTGACCTGGAGCTGCAAGGGATACTGGTAGCAGGTGCGACGCTATTGAAATCCATGTGGTAATAGGACAGATGCAGATAGATGGATTTAGAAGTGCGATGCATAGGTGTGCGAGCCATGGCAATTGCGAGACCAGACGCCGACATTCACACCAGTCATGTTCGCCAAGGCGCAGCTATCATCTGACTCGCATCCAAAATAATTCCATCCTCCACTTCCACCACATCTTCCCCTCCACCACAACACCAATGTAACCGATGTCATTCATCCCCCGCCATGCCTTCCCGCAAATCCCATCGCTGCCCCGGTCCTACTTCCTGGGCCACCACAAAGCCGGCCTGGCGAAGATGAAATCCCTCCTCTCCTCCATCGACCTAGTAATCGAATGCCGCGACTATCGTGTCCCACTCACCTCGCGCAACCCTCTATTCGAAGATGCGCTGGAAGGGAAAGAGCGAGTTATTGTTTATACGAAGAGGGATCTGGGCGGTGGCTCGCGCGATAATCGGAACGAAGATGTCATTGCGAAATGGCATCACCCTACTACGACAATGTTTGTGCGGAACGGGAAAGAAGCAGAGGGCGAGATTAGTGGAAGGAAGAGCGTGATCAAGCTCCTGGATATCCTGCGCGAACATGCGCAAAAGAGGTGGAAGCTAGTCGGCCACCGCGTCATGGTAGTAGGCATGCCCAACGTGGGTAAATCCACGCTCCTCAACGCCCTGCGCGCCCAAGGAATCGGTCGAGGCAAAGTCGCAGCCACCGGCGCACAACCGGGTGTAACGCGCAAAGTAAGCAGCAGCGGCGTGAAAATCATACCGAGCGAAGACGACATGGAAGCAGCGGAGGCAGCGGCGAAGAAGAAGCTTCAGGGCGTTGGAGGAGGTGTATATTTACTCGATACACCCGGTGTCTTCATCCCGTATGTCCCCGACGCAGAAGCCATGATGAAACTAGCACTCTGTGGCTCCGTCAAGGATACCATCATTGCGCCCGTTATGCTCGCAGATTACCTGCTCTACCACCTGAACCTCCAGTCGCCGTCGCTATACTCCGAATACGCGTCGCCTACTAATGACATCATCGGGCTCCTTACTGAGATCGCGAAGAAGACTGGTAGATTGGGCAAGGGCGGGGTCATAGATACAGAAGCGACGTCGTTGTGGATGATTCAGAAGTGGAGGCAAGGCAATATGGGACGCTTTCTGTTGGACGAGGTGGATGAGAAGAGTTTGGTGAAGGCGAAGATTGATGAGGAGGGGCTTACGCCTAGCTTTAACCAGGCGAGGAAGGCGGAGCGGGAACGCAGGAGAGAGAGGAATAAGGCGAGGGGGGAGAAGTAGGATGGTGAGGAGGAGTGTCGGTGGGCATGTGGCACGGGTTGCGCAAAGCGTCTAGTACAGATGTTTAATGTGACCACAGCTTAATCGAACCACGGCTTCGAAGGCATGTCCGCCATACTCATGCTCTGCAATCGTTCTCTACCGTCTTCATAACAAAAGACGGTACAGTTGGCCTATAATCCAGACCGAAGTCCTCATCTTACAACGCAACAACCCCAGCGAAGTCATCAAATTTTCCTTGAAATCCTTCTTTCCCATCCTCCAAACAAATCTGGGCGTAACACCCCATCTTCTTACACAGCTCCATCAACGAAACTTCCCCCTCACATGCCGTAGCCCGCTCCAAGTTCACGAAAAACCACAACACGCAAAACAAATACATTAATCCGCTCAAATAGCCCCCACCGGACCCCCCACATCAGTTCTACCAAGCATCCTATTATACGGCGGCGGCTCATCATGATACGGCGGCGGTTCCTCCGTATGAACAGCCATCTCATACATCCTCGGCGCAGCATCCAATTCGTGGTATGCCAGCGGTCCCGGCCCAGCTTCGAATACATTAGGAGGTTCGGTTGGAGCAGCCTGCCAATCCGTGACTACTTGTACGGGTTGTGTGCAAGCGATGCCGGACCACTCTCTATCCGCACACCTTCCCGTGATCTCGATTTGCAGTTCGTATTCTAGATTCAGGCCGTAGCTAGTGAAGCTTGGCGCGATGGTGTTATTATTGTAGTCTTTTGCGAGTTCGATGTTCGCTACGTCGAGCAGGTTGAGGCCGTCGTAGAGGGGTTCGCCGTCGCCTGTTTCATACTTGTGGTCGCAGAGGACGATGGTGCGGCGGTCGGTGTGGTTTGTTACTCGGCTGGGGTGTTTGAAGAACGCTTCGTTGGGGAGGAAGACGTTGATCTTTGCGTTTAACTGCACTTTTAGGCGCCGGATGAAGAGATCCGGTGGAGAGGGAAGGGACTCTGAGCGTTTGGTGTGTTGCACTGTTACGACGGCTGGGAGGGGAGATCCGATGACCAGGATGTTACCGGGAGTGGCGAAGACGTTGAATTGGGCGTAAGGGATTTCTGCAAAGGACTCAATGCCGAAGAGGAGTTCTTTGTCGGCAAGTTTGTCTTTGAAGCGGCCGAGTTTGCTGGAGTTTTCGCCGTAGTTGGGGAGGAGTTTGCGTGTCCGAATCAGCTTCGCTGCGCTGCAGTGTTTGGGTAGTTTGGTGCCGAAGTTTAGGTCGGGTTGCAGGAGAGAGCGGTCGTAGGGGGGCGCTGGTGGCATGTAGGTGATTTCTTGTCGGACCCGCACTGGTGGTGTGCCGGGTAGATCGGACTCCATGTACGCTTCTAGGTGGTACACGACCCGTGGACTTGTGGGTGTGGGACCGTTGAGTGTTGGAGGTAAAGGGAATCCAGGAGAATGCTGGAATCGGGGGTGGTTCCATTGGTCCCCTGGATGAAGCCATACTCTACCTAAACGTAGGTGTACGAAGTCAGTACATGTCTCACATGCAGTTCGTACAGCGATATTTCTTACCGGCGGGAGGTGGTATCGTAGCATGGTTTCCAAATGTGAAGGAGAAAGGCAGCTCAACTCTGGCAGGATCTCTCCCGTTGTTGGCGCGGAGGTGGAATTCATCGGCTGCGATTTCGTGTATGTAGAGGAATTGCGAAAGTCCATAGAACTCAAGATGCACGCTTCTTTGGTGGGCGTCTTCAACAGCAGAGAAGCCTTTTAGACTTATGCTTATGCGTTTAGGTTGTGATGTGGGCACCACGATTAGCTGGCCTTGTACGCAGTCCCCGCTTGTGTAGGTCGGTGGCGGATTGAGCACTTCGATGTAGACGGGATTGTCTCTGCGATTAGTTCGGCTGCCGCTCGCAGCTATTGCTAATACCATGATCAGCTGACGGACGATGGACGACTGTATGATAAGAATAGGAGAATGATTGTGGTTATGGGAAACAATGGCATTGTATAAGGCTGCCCACGGGGTCAAGTATCGACGGCGATGTCGCTTCGGTGCCGCCCCTGTTCCTCGGGACCTGCCATACCAAGCCCTAGGGTGTCACGAGTTAGAGCCGAAGTTCCATCTTGGTATTCAAACCCGGGTTTGATTGTCCTGGACGCCCTATGGGCCTAAAGACCCGCGTATCAGCACCGGTGGCTCAGCCTCGATGCTTCGACAAGCAATACTCGCGAGATCGCCGTCAAATCTCCGTCTATCAGGCCTGCCGTGGTGTTGCAGGTGTCTTGCGCGATGACGAGGCGCTTTGTGGTGATGCTCATTGGTGGTGTTGGCGGCGCCGGGGTCGTGCCGTCATCGATGGAGGGCGCGACTCGCGACTTCTGGACTTTTTGACTCTCTAGCAGCCCACGCCCGTCCCGACCAACACGACCAGCCATGTCGTCCAACTACACCTGCACAGCCTGCTCCAAGGCCCTATTGAGGTCCTCTACCTCGCTGCTCCAGGTACACAGCCACGATCCCTTCTCCAAAGCGGATAATTGACTCTCGTAGCGAACGAATCGAGCGTCTCTGCGCCAAGCACGTCGAACAATCTCCACCACCTCACCCACCGCCTACCATGCCTCGCAAACGCTGTCAGCAGATGTCAGGCCTGAAGCGATCAAGAAGCCGCATCCCGCTGTGGCGTCGGGCGTGACTGGCCTCGCCCAGAAGCTGCGCGAAAAGGCACCACTCATGACCGAGACGTACGTCGCATACGGCGCAACACGGGACCTCATCAAGGAATGCACGAAGCCGGGTGAATACAAGATACCCCAGGCGCTGCTAAAGCGGGGCGAGATACCCGTCGACGAGAATGGTGTGCACCTGGGCGAGGCCGAAGGATGGTGGTATGACAGTAAGTACTCACAATGAGGATACCCAGGCCCTTCGCTAACACATTTTGCACAGCCCTCGGACTCAAGCCAACTTTTTCGAATTGGGCCCAAATCACCTTCATCCACATGTACATGCTACAAGTCCGCTTCCGCATGTTCCCCCAGTCGCACGCACCAGTCTGGATCCAGCACCTCACCAACCAAGCCTTCTACGCAGCCGAGGACAGACTGGTCATATGGCACAAGTTCAACGCCAATTCGCTGCGTCAGAAGCACCTCAAGGATATGTTCTCACAGTGGCGGGCGGTGCTGCTGTCGTATGACGAGGGGCTGATGAAGGGCGACGCTATGCTTGCGGCGGCTATCTGGCGTAATCTGCTCGGCGCGAAGGAGGATGTCGATTTTGAGAAGCTGGCACAGATTGTGGGGTATATGAGGAGAGAGCTCAAGAGGCTGGATAGTGCTACGGATGATCAGGTGGCGGATGGGACGTGGACGTTCCGTGGTAGCCCCGGAGATGAGGCGCCTGTTGTTAAGGCGCCGAGTAGGATGATGGCGGCTGAGACTTCGAAGGCATGAGGAACGAACGGCACGAATGGGATGTAAGAGAAGAACCATGTATCAACAATGTGTATATATCTTATGAGAGATGCGATATGGAAACAAGCCTGTTCATATTCTTTCACATCTCACCCATGCGCCTGCATACTCAAGCTCAGCGCCTTCTGCAACTCTTCCTCATCCCCACTCTCCGCAGTCGAAGCCCGCCCTTTGCCCTTACTCTGATGATGCGCCTCCAAAAGACTTTGCTTCTTGACGTACGCCATCACAATCTCTTCTTCCGTCTTTTCCTCCATCGTCTTCTCTCCTCGGTGCTGCGCCTGGAACTCACCTTGCGTTGTACCTGCAAGATGACCCAGGTCATACGAAGGGGGTCGATGGGCGCCTGGCGATCCATCACTCGTTGTAGCTGCCATTTGCTCTGATGTTCCTGCTCGCCCCCTATCGAGATCTTCCCATCCATTGTCTTCGTTCATCTGACGCTGTTCCTTCAGACTTTGCGCCATGGCTTGCTTCAGCTGCTTTTCGTATTCCAGGGCTTCTCTTGAGTGTTGCTGCGCTTCGACTTCGCTGGAAGCCATCGCCTGGAGTAGTTCCTCACTGGATTCTGCTTCAGCGCCTGCGCGCGGCGTATCTTGTACTGGCTGATGGATAGACCCGCTGGTCTCCGCCGCTCCGAGCGGTACTTCAGGTTCGGTACCCGTAGTATGCGAATTGTACTCCGAGGTGAGTGTGGCACTTTCAAGATCTTGGATAGAAGCATCCGCAGACCGGACTGAATCCGCAGTAGACTCATCAACCGCCATCTCCTTCCGCTGCGCATCAAGCACATCCTTCATCATCTCATCAAGCCCATCTTTCTTCTTCAAATACTTCTGAATCAACCCCCACCTCTCAACAACATCCTCCTTCTCCTCCTCCCCACTTTGCACCCACTCCTGATACCCCTGCGCCGTCCTACTCGTAACAATGTACGTCTGCACACTACTCCCAAACCTCTTCTGCACCTCCTTATGCACCCCCTTCATCATATGACTCGGTATCCCAAACAGCGCCGCCCCCGGTTTAGCTATGAACCCCCCAATCCCCTTTCCTACGCCCTTGAAGAAACCACTAGCGCCTTCTTTCTGAGCACCCTTCCAGGGCTGTGTAAAGAGGCCGGTGACGCCGTCGTACCAGCCGAAACCGAATTCGCGGCCTATAGCTACCATGCCAGATTTTAGGTCAGAGACTTTTTCTTGGGGGCGCACGGTGGTGTCGTTCCAGAGCTTGGGCGCGTTGTGGAAGCCTTTTGTTATGCCGACGGATAGTTCCATGGGGGATTGGACGCCGGCTTTTACGATGCGTCCGAAGCCTCTGCTTGTTCGTAGGCCAGTGGGGCGCAGCATGTCATTGTCTTTGCTGGAGCTGGATGCTACGCTGGGAGTCCGAGATGCCGGAGTGGGGAGGTTGGGGGTGGTCTGAGAGCGGGCAAGCGGTTTCCGCTCCATTGCACTGGAATGGGGGTGTTGTTGTGAGCTTGATGAAGTGGAGCTCTCTCCTAATAGCGACGGCTCGCTCCTCTTTGCGGCGTTCCGTACTGAAGTGTCAGACTGCTGTCTGCTAGGTCCGAAAGGAGCTTGAACTGCCTTCGCCGTCTCTGAAGGCATTTCAGCTATGCCCATACTCATGCTGCCCAACGTCCTAAGTATCCCCATACCGAATCCAGATATAGGCTCCAGAGGGCCTTCATCGGTCTCATACTCCTGTGCCCTAAAGAGCTTGAGGTCATGGAAATCCAAAAGACCGGCATTGGCCAATGTGCAGGCGGCAAAAGCGCTAAGTCTGATTTGAGTGCGTTTAATGCGCCATACAGCTACTCGAGATGGTGCAAGGTTGCAACGAAGTCGGTCGGGGTCGAGATACTGGTGGAATGATTGAGCGCCCATATCGCTGCCGCGCTCCGTAGCGATCTTGCTTGCAAGATCTTTGGCACGTTCGAGACTTTCGGGCTTTAAGCAAAAGTTGATAGCATCTGCTAATTTGTCCGATGTGAGTTGCCGGTAGGGAATTGGATCGGGACCGGCACCAGCTCGAGCGATCATTGCTCCCCAGAAAGGTTGGTCGCCGAAGAAAGGAATCACCAACGTAGGTCGGCCTGGATTAGAGATACAAGTCAGCTTTCGGTCGGTGTTAGTTCTGTAGGCGAAGAACTTACCTGCCGCGATGCCTGCCGCTGTAGTCCCCGCGCCACCATGATGAACGACGCATTCGACGTGCTTGAAAAGCCAGTCATGCGGCACATTGCCCAGCATAAAGACATTTTCAGGAACACGAAGTTCCTCGGCCCCCATACCTCCCCAGCCCTTGGAAAGCAGTACACGTCTTCCGCCTGCAATCATTTTCGTGGCCTCGAAGATTAGTTCGGTCATGGCATTCGGATCGTCCAAAACGATACTTCCGAATCCAATGTACACCGGCGGTGGTCCATCATCAAGGAATTTCTGTAGCTCAGGCGTAGGAGTGTAATTAGAGGCCAGATTCAAGAAGTAGAAACCAGAGATGGATATATGAGAACCCCAATCTTTTGGTTTCGGAATAAGAGCTGGAGACCAGCAGTATGTATGAGGAACTTTGAGGCGCTGGAGCATTCCTGGGGCCCAGATCATACTCACGGGCTCTAGGCCGAGGCACTTGGCGCGAAACCGGTTGATGATGTCGCCTAAGCCTTGCCATGAGAGGGCTTCGATCATAGCGTAGCTGATGTAGTTGGTGAGTTGAGTATCAGCATTAGAAGATTGAATGTTCGCCAGAGGGTGGGGAAAGGCCTGGGTAGGAGAATATGGCATGGTGAACATGATATGAAGGGGTATTCCCAGCTTCTCTGCGCAATGAATATGCGCAAAGCTTGGTGGGTTGGCAATGATACAATCCGCGACGAAAGGGAAAGAACCGGCGTCGTTTGCGGAGCGATCTGAACCGTGGTCGTCGGACATCCCATCACCCGTTTCGTAGCACGATCGCCAGCAGCCTTGAATGTATTCCGCGACATCTCTTCTTCGACGGCCGACATCTCCACTTGCTAGACTGCGGAAACCGGGCATCAATCCAGGATTCTTGACCATGAAAGCCATCAGCTGGGAGGGGTCGCCACCGATGCTGAAAAACTCCAAGCCGTTCTCTTCTACAAACTTCTTGAAAGTAGGATGAGTTGCCAAACGAACACGATGGCCATAGGTCTCTTTCAAGACTTTCCCGAGAGCAACGAAAGGTTGCACGTCTCCGCGCGAGCCAACAACCTGGATAACCACATTCAGGGCTGGGGGTGGAACTCCTTCTTTACCTCCTAATGAAGGTGGGATGTATGCAGGGGGAGGCGGGCTGCTATTTTGAACACTCTGAACGTGTTCGCGTAAAGCTGGAGTAAAGACTTGGGATAAACGTCGGTTGAGCTGGTTGATGCGGATGTTGACACGGCCGTCTTCGGTGACGCTTGCGCTGGTGCCTAGGCCGTCTTTTTCGTTCCGAATCTCGCCATAGATGTCGCCATATGGGGGAGGCGGAACTTCTTCGTCGGTCGCATCTGGAGTGACGAGGTCGGTCGTTTGCAAGGGAGAGTCATGTCTCGTTGATCCTGCGGTTTCAGTCTGGACGGCAGAAGCAGCAGCTTGTGCTTGTTGAAGCATTGCATGCTGCGCGTTGGTCTCCGATATAGAGGCTTCATCTTCTAGGTGAGGCTGCGTGGTCATGGTGTCAAGGAGAGGATATGGAGTGCACTATTCTGGCCATCCAAAGCAGGGGCGACACCAGTAAGTACTCCATCGTCGAAGAGCGGCTTACGCCCTGGTGGAGGCATCGCATGAGTGCATTCGTGTATACCAGTCCTCAATGATGCCAAAGTCATCTTAGTGGTAAGCATTGCGCGTGCGAAGGATTCGACTGCGTTCGCGGGAGGCTGAGGCAGGACCAATGTGGTAAACCTTGCGAGCTGAACACGGGAAGTTGGACCCCGTAATTACGTCATCACCATCAACAGCCTCCACGGGCACGTATACGTATCACCCAACTGCAGAACCCATGCCATGATTGGAGATTTATCAGGAGAATCTTGCGATTTCCAGATTTCTAGCCTAAATGCATACTGAGAACTAGTGTATAACATCAGAACAAACGTTGCACGATACCGAAAAACAAGCTTGTCATAGCCAGTGTGCACAGCGCATCCCATACACCATGAACGCTCGCAATCGCACCACCGGTGAAATCCGCTAGTGCACCTGTGGTGGTGCTTGTCGGCTGCCCGAATCCGCCGCTACCGCTGTTGATAAAGTTGCCATCGTTGCCATCCGCGGTAACAGATGCGGTGATGGACATCGATCCCTCAACCACGACGACAGGTGTTTCTCCGGGAGTAAGTGAAACCTCGATACCATCAACCGTTGTCATGGCACCAGGCATCAAGGTTTGACCATTCGACAGTAGCAAGCCTCCGCCATCAGTCGCCGGAATGAAGGAGAACCCAGAAGGAAGAGCACCCGGAAAGATCGTTGTGCCCCCAAGGACCACACTGCTTGCTGCTGCACCTATCGCTATCGTTGTTGTACCAGCAACCAAAGCGGAAGAGTCGCGTGAGATGGTCATGGTGCCGATAATGGTCACCTCGCCTGGCTCCAGTTTCGAGGCAAGCTCGCTGACATCGATGATCGTCCCGTCTATGATCACTGTAGATGGACCTGGTAATTGGGTCGTTTCCTGTAGCGAAATCGTCTGGGTGCCGCCAACGACTACAAAAGAGCCTGAAATGTCTCTGGAGATCGGTATGTTGTTTATAGTGGTCACCTCGCCTGGCTGGAGTCGCGTAGCGACCTCAACAATGTTGACGGTCGTCCCACCGATCACCACAGGTGCTGGTCGAGTCGACGGCGTCGATGGAGTAAGTCCAAACGTCGCGGTCCCATCTATGACGACGAACGAAGCGGAAGTATCGAATGAGATTGTAACGTCGTTGATGGTGGTCTGCTGTCCAGGAATGATCATGCTTGCCGCACCGCTTATCATGATACCCGAGTGAGACGGCTCAACTACAATAGCGCCAAGGCCAGGTAGAGACATGGTCTGCACTTTACTCGGACTGGGGACCATCGTGGTAACCGGAGGATAAATGGGCAATGCAGTTATCCCTCCTGGGGGCTGCACAGGTCCTCCTGGTATTGGTGTTACTGGGCCACGAGAAGTCGCCATCGGATTACCTGGAGGCGTACCCTGAGGTAATGCAGGAGCAGTGAATCTTACAGACGAAACCTCCGGTGTGCCCAGCTGATCAGTCGGTGTAGTAGGGACGTTATCCGAAGGTTTGGTTTTGGTGGGTACAGGCCGGGGATACAGCGTAGCTTCACTAGTTATTCTTCTCTCTGGTTAGCTATAGGCATCAACAACATGAGTCGAAAGCGTACGTGGGCTCTCCCAGAATCGGCTGAAAAGTAGCTGGTTCGAGATAGTCGTAGTCAAATAGTGTTGAAGCGGCGATCACTGTTACAACATTCGTTACGGTGCGTGTCGGCGGCAATACGATCTCGGTGTATGTGTATGTGTTCGTTTCGATGTAAGTTGGTCCCAGGCAGCCTGTCTGGGACTCTGTTGGCTTCGATGTTGTAGCAACGGAGCTGTTAAGATAACGAGATGTCCTATTGAGAATTAGCAAGCTGCTGGCTTAGCTGAGAGCGACTTACGTGAAAGAGACCGTATTGGCGACAGCTGCTCTCTTCTCGAAAGATACATCAGCTGTGCCTCCAATCTTCTCCACTCTGGTCAATGTTGTGCCGTTACTAAACGGGGTGACATGATAAATGATAGTAGGGGGCAAATTGACTGTCGAAACTGAGGTAAAAGTTGTTTCGCTTTCTACGACAGAAACAGTTTCAACAAGTTCTGTAGTGATCGTTGTGATCGTTGTCACGGCACACTCTGAGTCTGGTGATGAAGAGCGAGCAACGCTTGCGGCACTAGGAGAACCTGCATTCCATAAGTCAGCTGTTTATGTAGACTGCCATCCGAGTGCGAAAGGTACCTGAAAGCAGCAAAGCAGCAAACATGACCACTCTCATTCGACACGGTGAACGCGTGCTGGTCAGGTACCACCACATGTTGAAGAGAGCCAGGTAGTAGTTATTATCTTGATTTTGTTAAGAGAACAGGAGTCTTTAGTCAAGACGAGGGTGAGTATTAAGGGGACCAGGTTGGACATAATGCACTCCATTCCATTCCAATCTTGACGATGAGACTGCTATGCGATGTGGCTCAGCCTCCGAATTGGCCCCAACCATAGTCTCGGCATCCGGCTCGTGGTTGGTCAGAGTGCGCTGCACTGTCTTAATCTGGAAATATACAATAACCTTTGATTGCATCTGCAGGAAGCATATTGGGTAGTTCTGCACAGCCTACCAATCATCGGGTTGTACCGTTGATTGCAGGGAAGAACACAGTCAGCAAGTTGGAAGCTCGGTTGCAGCCCAGTACAGGCTCAACTGTACAGGCATAGTACTTTTCTCCTGCTTTCCGCTCAGTCCCAGACACATGCAAAACAGCGTTGATCATCTCATCCTAGAGCTTTTCGCAATATGGCAGGTGCGCTCTCACTTTCAGCATCGGGGGGCTGGTTTGGTAATGACGGAAGCTGGTCGACGTATGCTTCTCGCACGTTGCGAAAGTGTGCCCATGCTTTTGCTGACAATGATAGGTTCCTCGTTCAGGTGGGAACTCCACCACAGACATTCAACGTGTTGCCTGCAACACAAGCTGCAAACATCTGGCTTCCTATCGCTGATGAATGTATGAGGCTGCAAAATGGCTCGGCTTCGTGTGGCAACTCTCGCGGTGTGACGCCTTTTCAACAACGTCTGAGTCCTGGGTTTCAAGCGAATATGTCGTCAACCTGGAAGACCATTGGTCTTTATGAACTCGGAATGGGAAGGATCCACGAAATCAACGGGAATGGCCTCCAAGGATTCGACAGCGTTGAACTAGACAACTTCACAATGGAGGGCCAAGCGATCACCGCCTATGCCTCACCCGGTTTCTGGATCGGTCAGATGGGACTATCGTCGTTGCCACTGAACTTCTCGGAGACAATCGGCTCGCCATCTTTGATCTCAGCTCTCAAAGATGAGGGCCATATACCCAGTCTAGCGTATGGATATCAAGCTGGTGCCTCGTATCGCAAAACCAGAATACCCGCCAGTCTCGTTCTCGGAGGATACGACCTGTCGCGCTCGTCAGAACCCTTGACGGTCGACATCAATTCCGATCTGTCCAGAGCTCTTACAATCGGACTCCAGGATATCATAGTGACCGATTCGCTGAACGGAACACTTTCGATGGTTGATAACGAACGGATACTAGCCCCGATCGATTCGTCCATTCCAGACATGTGGCTTCCTAAATCTGTTTGCGACCGCTTCGAATCTGCATTTGGCCTGGAGTATCATGAAAGATCTGGGAGGTATGTCCTCACAGATTCGGCCAGGGATCGACTTCGGGAACTCAATCCCACCTTAGCGTTCACCGTCGGTACCAACGCCGTCACGGGTGGCAACACTACCATAGTCCAATTTCCATACGCGGCATTCGACTTGCAGGCAGGGTATCCAATATTTGCGAATGCGACGAACTATTTTCCGATTCGAAGAGCTGATAACGAAAGCCAGTATGCTATCGGCAGGGCGTTCCTACAAGAAGCCTACATCGGCGTTGACTTCGAGGCTGGCACATTCAATGTCAGCGCAGCAAAATGGGACGACGTAAAGCCTGAGATTGTAACGATCTCAGGTAAGAATAGTGATACCGGAGCGGCTAAGGAGCCAGGCCTCTCGGGTGGTATGATAGCTGGGATCGTCATTGGCTGCATGGCAGCGATATTGATTTGCGCATTGTGCATATGGGTTCTGGTACGGAGATCCAGGCGGATGCGGGAGCCAAATACAGCGCTGGCAGCTGACAAGGGAGCGCACGACGCGCTGTATTCAACTCCACAGTTGGCAAGTATGGCTTTCCACGAGCTCCCCGCTAAACACGGCGATAGTGAACTTTGGGAGGCAGAAATGGTACCTGAACTGGGTAGTCGGGAGTGTGCGCACGAATTGCATCCGGACTGCGTTCGATGAAGGAGCGTTGGTGCCGGATGACGCCTGCCACATGAGGGACGCGCCGATGACTAATAACGCTAGCGTGTTAGCTCTTAGGCCTGTCGCGCTTCTGGGCCGCGGCGCCAGCTTTACACCACCTTTCTTTCAGCATGTCACTTTTCAAACATCTTGAAACAAACAACTTCTTCTTGCTTATCCTACAGAACCTGAGCAAGCAATATAATTCTCGGCCTCGTACTGCATCATGCCATCTCCTTTTACACTGTGGTCCACAGGGAAAGGAGTATATACCTTCTTTTCCCTGCGCCTAGTACATGAATGCATAATTGGGTTGACATGTTGAAGCAATTATAGTTACTGTGCGACACATTCATACCACCTTAATATTCGCCCAATCCGAATTGCTCGATGATCGAATAACATGACCTCCACTGAGGACCGGCTAGACCGTGTGAAATAACAGGAAGCGGTAGGTAAATACTATGTGGCGGATCGCGACTCATGTTATTTCGTTCACAATACGACCTTCCCGGCGGCATGTGAACAGGATCGTGTTTCTTCTCATGATCGGCGTAGCCCGTCACAGTCCTAACGCATAACAATGACTGTCAACCCACACACTCTCACGCTGTCCACCGCTCTCGAAGCTCGCTATTCGCCTTCTGGCGAGAAGTGTGCTATCTGCCAGGAGTCATTAGAGGACACGCCTCCTGTCTATGATCCAGCAGATGAACATACATCCAATACAGATTGCCAGGCTGACATGGAAGCAGTCGTTACGAAGGTCTGTGGCGACAAACACTTCTTCCACCGGACTTGCATCGAATCGTGGTGGAAGTCCGGTAATCCTCATCTAAACACTTGCCCTATCGATCGTACACTTTGCTACGGTGGCGCACGTGTACCTCAAGAGCCTGTCAACCTTCCTACGTATACTACATTTCCAGGCCATGACCCGCATGCACACGGTACCGTTCACCTAGGACCTCTTTCAGCTGATGACATGGATTTCATTACCAGCGCACGAAACCAGGCATTCATCTCAATGCTCACTCCGCATCAGGTCATTACAATCGGTCCACTCGTGGGCAATCTGCTTGAAAGCGCGATCGAGACTGTGCAGAGACGTACATCGGAGCTTGCTAACGAAGTTACGATCGACTGCTACCTGGATGCTCGCGACCTTGCGGAAGGGCTGGCCGCAGGTTACATCACGCGCGAAGATATAGATTTGGCCAACACCATCGCCGAGAACATCATGATCACGGCTTTGAACCGTAGCATTGTGCCGGTTGGAGCGAGGGAAGGTGTGCAGGCTTCTTCCACTGCCGGTCCACATATTTCTGACGACATGTTTGGGCAAACGGTAAGAACTGGAGCCGACGAAGCCGTTCCTAACCCCCAACGTGATCAACTCGGCCACAATGGTTTTGTGATTCACAGGACTGTACGCCTCCAGCTACAAATGGAAGGGCCACAGCATTACCTTGATAGTATCAACCACATGGTTGGCTTCTTCGACGATGACAAAGATGATTCTGGTGGTGGTGACATGGGTTAGGATTCTGTTGACGAGGCTGGTGATACCATCAATGCCAGCTTCTTCGAACCTCACCATTGAGGTCATTGTAGATAGGCAATGGCAAAAAGAGTGTTCATACGATGTACGTGGATGAGCTAGCTGAAGCTGTCTCGAACTGTGAAGTCGTCTTCAAGACACCCCAACGTCTACGTCGCTTTCTACAAGCGTGCGCCTTGCCACAAATACTAGCCACCGTATCCCTGAAATTTTCCGGATTTATCCATCGGCTTTTATACCAGGTAGAAAGGGAGGTTAATAGCAAGAAGGCAAGCCAGTGGGGAACACGCGCAGTTCACACACGGCTCGACTCGAGCTGACAACCCCACCCCGCCACCGCATGCGGCAAAGCGCCAGATCCCGCTCAAGATGGCTGGCTAGCCTCCCAAATAATCTCAGCACGTCACGAGCACGAAAGCGACGAAAGCGCGGTGTTCTAAGCCCGCAAGTGAAATCGCAAAGATCTCCGACTATTTTACATCTTGCAGCTCCGATGGCCATGGCCCCTTGGATATGTCTCCACTGAAGCGTCCGAGTGAGGATGCGGAGCATGAGGACGGGCGCCGACCTGCACCACGAACGCCGAGGATTAGAGCTTGTAAGTTCATGGACCGCGCCCCACTTCATCATTGCTTCTCTTTTTTTCTTACAATATGTTGTTGTAGGTGCGGAGTGTAAAAGACACAAGATCAAATGTGAGCCCGTCGACAATGAAGCAAAATGCGCAAAGTGTTTGCGCAGCGGAACGGAATGCGTTCCTTATAATTTGAATCAACGGCTTCTGGATGAAGATGCGGCGTAGGTCAATTTCACACGTGCTCTCTTCACCATCGCTAAGTACTTCAGTTGGAAATCAAATGCGACAGCCGAGTTGTCGCAGCTGCGCTCTGCGGTGCAGCGTCTGCTGCAGCACAACAAACTCCCTGGTTTGGATAGTCCAGTTAGTCAAGATACGCCGCCGCATTCAGCAGGACGCACCATGACCATCAGCCCGACAAACGTCATGTCGGAGAGCGGACATGCGACGTTTGTTGTTCCACCGCCCATGGATATGACGAGAGATACCTCTGTTGAGCGCGAGTCCGGAGAAGAGTCTGGCTTGGTGACAGCGCCCATGAAGAGTTTATACGACCTTACCCGGATCCGGAACCTTCGGAGTAGTGTGCGATGGAAGCCCAATTCCAACTCTGTGGAGGAGGACTTCATAGCTCAAGGCATTGTGTCGTTACCGGAAGCTGAGGATCTGTTCAGACGGTATATGCAGGACATTCGGCTTTATCTCTGGGCTGGTGTACTTTTCCCGTATGACTCTCTGGATGCAGTCCGTCGCCAGTCCACTCTTCTCACTGCGGCTGTGCTTACCATCTCAGCACTACACACGCCTGGTCGAGACGAAGCATTGCAGAAATGTTACAACATCTTCGTTTCATTGGTCTACAGTGCCTTTCTCGCTCGGCCTCAGAATCTGGATGATATCCGCGCGCTGGCTCTCGCCGCTTTCTATCTCTCGAATCTGAGCTGGAAGTTGGCCGGCCTGGCAGTAAGGAACGCCGTGGAGATGAATCTGCATATGTCGTACCAGAAGCTGATGCGAGGGCACGAGGACCAGCGCGACAACGTGCGTCTATGGTACGCATTGTATGTCTGCGACAAGCAGTTCAGCATCGCATATGGACGACCATCTATCGTCCACGAAGACATTGCCATCAAGAACATTGAGAATTTCCTCGACAGTCCCAAAACGACCCCAGGAGACATCAGACTGGGAGCGCAAGTCACTTTGTTCAAGATCCTGACAGAAGCATACATTGCCTACGGCAGCGATCCAGAGCAACCACTCACGGAACCCGACTTCCAACAACTCCGCCTCTTCAACTTCGCCATTGAACAATGGCGGCTCGCATGGCAAGCCCGATCCGCTGACAGTCCATCCATCGGATCCTACCCATCAAAAGGCGTGGTACTATACTACCACTTCGCCAGATTCCAACTGAACTCCCTCGCGCTACGTGCTCTCCCTCCGCCCAGCGCAGCCACATCGGAATCACTCTCCTACGACCGCCGCGAAGCAGCCAACATCGCCATCACGGCCGCAACCAGCACCCTCACCCTAATCTTCGAGGAGCCTGATCTGCGCAAGGCCATGACAGCAGTACCCATCTTCACGCACACCATGGTCGCTTTCTGCGCTACTTTTCTGTTGAAAATGGCAAAGACCTGGGGCGGCATGGCACAGGTACAATCGCCCGAGTGGGCAACCGAACCCGTTGGCCTAGGCCTCAACTTCAACATAAATCAAGTCCTATCTCTATCGCGGCGCTCATCTTCTTTCCTAGCGAAAGTAGCGGAGAATCTTAACGAGAAACACATTACTACGCATATTGTCCAGGGCATCAACGATTTGTTGAAACGGCTGGATGTTGCGGGTACGCCGTCGGGGTCTGTGACCCAGGGAGGCTTTCCGGCTGCTTCGCCTGCTACTACGCATGTGTTTGATCCTGTCAAAGCGGCTACGGCGCGCAACGATGAGGGTGTGGATGTGACGGCGGGGAATGAGTATAATATGTATGATTTGATTGGTTCTTATGGGTTTGGGTTTGACGAGACGTTCTTGGGTCAGGTTGCGCCTACGAACTTGGATTTCTGGCAGACGGAGCCTTTTTGATGGGCGGTATGTATTCGTAATTTAGGGGGAACCCCTCCTACCTTGTTCTCCAATGCAGTTGAGGGTCTTGGGGTCCTTGTGACAATAGACTCCGCACCTACCTTTACATCATGTCACTCTTGTAGTCCAGCCATGTTTGGCGCTCCTGGTTATTGCTACATCCTACCTTCGTACAGTTCCCACCTCGCATCCAACGTTATTATTCGAGCGTCGTGAAAGGCGGCGGTATCGGGTGGTGAAGGTGAGCGCGCGGAGCTTGCGACGAAACCTGGCAAAGGCAATGGTGATGTTTGGCGAAACGAGCTGCAGTTTGCTACGTCGATGGGATAGGCAGCAGCAGCGATTGCTGTGGCGGAGCGAGTATGTAGGCAGCTATGCAAGTTTAGCAATGCGCAAGGCTGGACAAGGCTGCCCAGGTGCTCGAGACTGTCCAGGCGAGGCTGATGCTCTGAGCTTCTGTGCGCGCTCGTGAGGGGAAGCTGCGACGGCCGCCGGGGAAGCTTGTGCTCTCTATCGAGACGACGATAATAATAGAAGCGAGGTTTCTAGAAGTAAATTATGCGGTGTCGCCGGCGGGACAAGCAACGTGTGAGTGCATCGACAACGTCGCGATTGTTCTGCCCCTCGCTACTAGGCGTTGCTGGGGAAGGCGCGTTTGGCGGTGAGGCGCAATTGGAAGGCGCGCCCCACCGTGATTGGCTTAGCCGCGGCCTTCTCTGCGTTTCTGCCGCTCTGTCTAGAAGATTCTCGAGCTCCACCAAAGACTATATCAGCCCCAAACTCGACTCCTCCCACTACTTTTTCTTCATCGAATTGCTCTCTCCCACTGCCACTACACAGACATCGACGTCGCTCTGCTTGCTCTTACCCACGCGCATTAGAAGAGCTCAGCAACCGAACTACCCCGCCTAACTGTACGTCTTCCCCACACTCGCCCACTCGCCTGTCACTTCAGCCTAGTACCATTGAGCCCGGGCTGACTCTTCTCCCACAGCTCAACACCCACACAACCGCCACCATGTCTGGGGAGACCTTCGAGTTCCAGGCTGAGATCTCTCAGCTGCTCGGCCTCATCATCAACACCGTCTACTCAAACAAGGAGATCTTCCTGCGAGAACTCATCTCCAACGCCTCCGACGCCCTCGACAAGATCCGATATGAAGCCCTCTCAGACCCAAGCAAGCTCGACAGCGGCAAGGATCTCCGCATCGACATCATCCCCAACAAGGAGGCCAAGACCCTCACCATCCAAGATAGCGGTATCGGTATGACCAAGGCCGACCTCATCAACAACCTGGGTACGATTGCCCGCTCAGGCACAAAGCAGTTCATGGAGGCGCTGTCAGCCGGTGCCGACATCTCCATGATTGGTCAATTCGGTGTTGGTTTCTACTCCGCATACCTCGTCGCCGACCGCGTCACCGTCGTCTCCAAGAACAACGATGACGAGCAGTACGTCTGGGAGTCTAGCGCCGGTGGCACCTTCAAGATCACCGAGGACACCGAGGGCGAGCAGATCGGCCGCGGCACCAAGATCATCCTCCACCTCAAGGATGAGCAGATGGACTACCTCAACGAGTCCAAGATCAAGGAGGTCGTCAAGAAGCACTCCGAGTTCATCTCATACCCCATCTACCTTCACGTCCTGAAGGAGACCGAGAAGGAGGTCGAGGATGAGGACGCCGCCGAGGAGACCACCGAGGGCGACGACAACAAGCCCAAGGTCGAGGAGGTCGACGACGACGAGGAGAAGAAGGAGAAGAAGACCAAGAAGGTCAAGGAGTCCAAGATCGAGGAGGAGGAGCTCAACAAGCAGAAGCCCATCTGGACTCGCAACCCTCAGGACATCACCACTGAGGAGTATGCCTCATTCTACAAGTCCCTCTCCAACGACTGGGAGGACCACCTTGCCGTCAAGCACTTCTCCGTTGAGGGTCAGCTCGAGTTCCGCGCCATCCTCTTCGTTCCCAAGCGCGCTCCCTTCGACCTGTTCGAGACCAAGAAGACCAAGAACAACATCAAGCTCTACGTCCGCCGTGTCTTCATCACTGACGACGCTACCGACCTGATCCCCGAGTGGCTCAGCTTCGTCAAGGGTGTTGTCGACTCTGAGGACCTTCCCCTCAACCTGTCTCGTGAGACCCTTCAGCAGAACAAGATCATGAAGGTCATCCGCAAGAACATTGTCAAGAAGACCCTCGAGCTCTTCAACGAGATCGCCGAGGACCGTGAGCAGTTCGACAAGTTCTACTCTGCCTTTGGCAAGAACATCAAGCTCGGTATCCACGAGGACTCCCAGAACCGCGCTTCCCTCGCCAAGCTGCTCCGCTTCAACTCCACCAAGTCTGGTGAGGAGCAGACCTCGCTTACCGACTACGTCACCCGCATGCCCGAGCACCAGAAGCAGATGTACTACATCACCGGCGAGTCGCTCAAGGCTGTCCAGAAGTCGCCCTTCCTCGACACCCTCAAGGACAAGGGCTTCGAGGTTCTCTTCCTTGTTGACCCCATTGACGAGTACGCCATGACTCAGCTCAAGGAGTTCGACGGCAAGAAGCTCGTCGACATCACCAAGGACTTCGAGCTTGAGGAGTCCGAGGAGGAGAAGAAGGAGCGTGAGGCCGAGGAGAAGGAGTTCGAGGGTCTCGCCAAGAGCCTCAAGACTGTCCTCGGTGACAAGGTCGAGAAGGTTGTCGTCTCCCACAAGCTTGTCGGCTCACCTTGCGCTATCCGTACCGGCCAGTTCGGTTGGTCAGCCAACATGGAGCGTATCATGAAGGCCCAGGCTCTCCGTGACACCTCCATGAGCTCGTACATGTCTTCCAAGAAGACTTTCGAGATCTCGCCCAAGTCCGCTATCATCAAGGAGTTGAAGCGCAAGGTCGAGGCCGATGGTGAGGATGACCGCACCGTCAAGTCCATCACCCTGCTTCTCTTCGAGACCTCGCTCCTTGTCTCTGGTTTCACCATTGACGAGCCCGTCCAGTACGCTGAGCGCATCCACAAGCTTGTCTCCCTCGGCCTGAACGTCGACGAGGAGGTCGAGACCGAGCAAGAGAAGACCGAAGCCGCCGAGGCACCCGCAGCGGCTGGCGAGAGCGCCATGGAGGAGGTCGACTAAGCGCATCGCCCGTCTTGACTGGTTTTGAAAAGTTTGGTCGGCGCTCTGATATCCCTTTCATGTGTCATGGCTTTCTTTCACTTTCTACACCTCACTTGCATGGTACACGAAGCTTAATCTTCGATGGCGTCTTAGAGTGGTGGTACTTTATGCATCACGAGTAATGGATATCCCGAAATGTATCTTACGTAGACTTGCCTCTGGGTAGTTTTCATGAATGATGAAATGTTCAAACAATCTTTGTCTTCACTGTGCTTTTGTTGTTGCTTTTGCTTTTGTGGTGTTGATGCATGGCCTTGATGGTCAACGCGGCTGGGCATAGTTCACCACACCAGCTAGCCATCGACCCTTCCAAGATTACTCACGTTCTTCCGTCATCTCTCACTAACTTCGCGCGCTGTTTGAAAGATGTCAGGTTTGACAGATGCCAGTTTGGTGTTGCTCCGAATCTCACAACGTCAGGGTCCAACCCATGCAACGGCGATCATCCCGTGTCCGAAAAACAGGAATCTCCACAAGCCTGGGCCGTTTCGTACCTCCACAACAGCAGGGATGAGGAGCGTGCATGACGTATGACGGAGCCGCGTTCAAGATGTCTAGAACGCGGTTTCTTGGTACAGGACCATAGACTACCAGATTCTGTCCTCCCTTTTCGCTGTCATTACGATACTTTGACGTTCCAGCACCAACTTCCTGAAGCTTACGTTGTTGTTATTTCGATATGTCGGCCGTGGACCAACTCAAGCAGCAGAATGCTGCGCTGCAATGTATGTTGGTAGATGATGTAAAGGACGGGGGCTAATGCGCGCTCAGCAAGTATTGGAAACATTTCCAAAGTCGCTGGATCGACCGCGACGAAGCCGGCTTCTACGACTCCGGCAAAGACAGCGACGTCGGCTACCAAAGCTACCCCTGTGAAGAAGCCTGTTGCGACAGCTACGGATACCGCAGGATCAGCTGCTGCACCAGCGAAGAGAGTACCGAGGAAGCTCAATGCAGCGGGCGCGTCGGCTTCAACGCCAGCAAAGACCACGCCCGTGAAAGCGACCCCGGCAGCATCCTCAACACCAGTAAAGAAGCCCGTAACCGCTGCTCCAGCAGGCAAACCCGCCTCTACCACCACACCCGTGAAGAAAACGCCCGTCACGACAGGCAAAACACCCGTCAGCGAAGCCTCCAAGCCCGCCCGCCAACGCACCCCCCTCGGCACCACAAAGCCCCTGCCCATACGCAAGAACCCCACAACCGGTGCCGCGCAATCGCAGCCCGCAAGCGCAGTCAGCAAGGCGCCCGTGAAGAAGACAAGCGCCGCCGCAACATCTTCTCCCGTTGCAAAGACCACTCCGGCAGCGAAAGCAAGCCCCGTCAAGCGCACACCCACCAAGGTAAACCCCGACGGCACAGCGCCCACCAAAGTAAACATCGACGGTACCTACCCAACCCCTCTTGACGTAATACTAGCTCATCCCGCTCCAGGCCAACCTACTCCTCAGTCTACCATCGCTACCGCGAAGAAACAGCCGGGTATCGTGGGTAAAAGTGTTAACACGGCTACGGGCACGCTGAATAAGACTGTTGGGACGACGACGGGTGGTTTGAACACCGTTACCGATTCTGTGACTACGGGTGTGAATAACACGGTTGGTGGCGTGACGGGGTATGCGGGCAAAGGACTGGATAAGTTGCCGGGTGGTGTGGGCAAGCCGGTCAAGCATGTAACCGATAATGTGGGTAAGACGGCGACGGGCGCGGTGGATAACGCGTATTACACTGTTGGGTCTGCGACCAAGGGGCTGCAGGGCACGGTTAGTAAGACGACGGGGGCGATTGGTAGGGGTGATGCGAAGGGGACTGTTGCTGGGGCGAGCAGTGGTGTTGGTATGTTCCCCTTTTCCCTTTCTCATGCTCTTACTTCGCTACGTCGATATGCGCTTATCATATACGTCTGAATGCCCTACTAACACCCCCACAGGCAACACAGTAACAGGCGTAGGCAAAGGCGTCGGCAACACCGTCGGCGACGGGCTCGCTGGCCTGGGCAACACTGTCGGCGGTCCCGTCGGCGGCGTCGTCGGCAACGTGGGCAAAGGTGCTAACAACGCTGTTGGCGGCATCACCAGCGGCGTCGGCGACGGCGTTAGTAAGCTCGGCAAGGGCGATGTGATTGGTGGCGTAAGCAGTACGCTGGGTGGTGTAGGAAAGGGTGTGGGTGGCCTGTTGGGCGGTATCACGGGGTATGGAGAGGATAAGGAGAAATGAAGGTGCAAGGTTGAGAGGTGGTTGGAGAGGGTTGAGGAGGGTGATGAAGAGGAAGAGTGTGTGGAGGAGTTGGAGGAGGGGCAGGAAGAGAAAACTAAAGAAGAAGACGCAAGAGAGGGCGATGGTGTGCGGGAAGAAGGAGGAGAAGGAGAAGCGAATGTGAAGGCCGATGTTGTCGAGGAGGAGGGGTTGAAAGCAGATTCCGTGCATGGCAGAGGGGATAGTAAGGAAACCTGATATTATCGCATGTATATCTATGTAAATCGTTATCGTCATTGCTATCAGCTTACCGACATCCCCTCTACGTCTCCCCAAAGCTGTCTGATGCCCCAAACGAAGAGAGCACGGGAAGGCATGCGGGCGCATGTCCCCCTATCCCACAATAGAACCCAACGCCATATTCCAAACCCACCGGCAGAAACGGCGTTGCGTTGCACAGCCTAACTAACGCTTCACCCGCCCTCCGCTTGGAAACAAGCCACAACTGGCACGAAACCTCGCGTTGATCACTTTGGAGAAATAACGCCGAATCCGCTCCTTCTGCGGTGGATATATTATACGCGGTATACGGTGTTGCGGGACTAGGTTTTGGGGCCTGAGTTCGGGGGGTTGGTCTTGTTTTGATGGGGTTCAATGGAGGGGGTGTAGTTGGGTCTTGAGAATAAGGGGATGGGATGAGATGTTGGGGAAAGGGTGGAAGTGATGATGCGGTTGGTGGTATGGGAGGAGGGCAAGGGAGAAGAGAGGAGGAGCTAGTGGACGTAAAAGCTAGTGAAATGATGTGTGAGGCATTTTGCGGTAGACTTGCGAGTCTTATCCACGTTGCCATGTTCAAGTCGTATGCACCGTATGTGAAAAAGGTCGGTGGTACTTAATCATCCACGCTATCTCACCCCAAACCCATCGAATTACCAAGCTCCCCATCCGGTTACCCAACGGCCCTTTCCAGCACGCCTAACACACCGGCTTTGGTCAAGAAATTGAACCACAAACCTGCGCCTCTTTTTGCGTCGTCACCTCAGCCACTAACCCAGCACCACGATCGGCGCTTGCCCGCTAGCCATCTCGTGTTCCCAAACGCACTCACCCAGAATTGTAATTATTCGCGAACTGGACTTTCGGAGTCTACGCCGGTCCGCGGTGTTATGGACGCAGGTCTAAATGGTCCGATATACGCTGCGGGGGCTGTGATAGGTAGGTAGGGTCGGTTTCGAAACTGATTAGGCTTTCGGGAGGCACGTTGCGTCCGGACAGGGAAGGGGGGTGAGGCATTTTGAAGGGCCTGATGGTCTGAGAGCCGGGAATATCGTGGCTTGCGCGTCAGGGTTTGTGGAGGGATAAGCTTTTTTGAGAATGCTTGGTATCGTTTTGACAGGTGTCTAGGAAAGCTTGGTATCATGGCTGGTGACGATCGGGGAGTCGTTGCTCCTATCAGCTTGGAGATGGGACTTTTTGATCAGGCGATTTGCTGCTTAGCTTGCATACATGGGCATACCTGCACCACTTTGCTTTCGTGGCATCGGTTGCACGCAGCAAACAATTTCCCTCGAGGAAGACATCAGGCAACATCTCACGACACGGCACACTCAGCCAGCTAATCCCGGCTTTGACACTGTAGCACGATCCCCAGGACCCCCCAAACCACTCTCGTAACCTTCCAGATTTGTTTCGCGCATCATCAGCCCTTTTTGACGCCAGCGCGTCGATTCAAGCCACAAGCACAGACGCGTCGAGCGCACGCACTAATCCTATCCCAGCCGCAAACCAGTCGATCAGGGACCAATCCGCCTACCTCCCTCGCAACGTGCACAGAAACGTGTGGCTGAGCTAGGCAATTATCACCGGCACTATCCTCCTCTCACGAAACGAGTGGAACAATAGCGCGTGCGACGACACCGTACCGGTGTTCCTTCTGGCGACGGTCTTGAAGCTGGAAATGTGACTATCGGAACTATTGGCTCGCCGGAGCCGGCGTATAGGATGACCACCGTTCCGGCGGCCGCTCATGCAGCGTGAAATCTGTCGTGTGAGACTTGATTATGTGCCTGGGAAAAGTCAGGATCGCTACAAGGGTTCCGAGCTCGTGTGTGTGGAATTCACTCACATCTGGGCCCCCCCAGTTAAGTTACCGAGGTTTAGCGCCACGCGAGGGTGAATGCAAGCTTGCGCATACATGCCCTGGTTCCAACGCTCATACCCACGCTTGTTTCGAACGGGTTCATAAGCCACTTCTGTCGCCCCCTCGACTGCACATGTGGCTCACGACGATTGTTACTTCAAGGTATACGCAGATATTTCATTGGTGAGTTGGTGATTGAGGGTGTGTCTGTTCGCTTAATCAAGAGGAGCAGATATACGAGAGTGAGGGCTGCGCTAACGAGGGTCTAGATCGCAGCGCATAGCTCTTGGACCATAATACATCCAACCCAAAGCAGCAGGTTGACTCTATATCGTGAAGTTTCTCCGCTCCGCCGCTGCGAATCCAGAGTCGCTGGGTTTCCTCGTTTCGCTCAAATTCAACGCCTGCGATTTCAACCGCAACAACGATCCAATCTACCAAACACACCACTACAACAACCATGTCGTCCAACCGACGAATCCCCCTCCTCCTCACCATCATGGCCCTCACAAGCGCAGTACTCTCCGCCCCCACACAACCTCACCCCACACCCCAACTAGAAGACCTCCAATGCCGCTGCCTCACCTTCTCCACCAGCCGCACCCCAACCCCATGTTCCTACCAAGAGCTCCTAACCCTAGACTGGGAAGCCGCCTTCTCCCTCTCCATCACCAACGCGCTCCCCATCCAATTCGCCAGTCAAACCACCATGGACACCTTACTCGCCATTCCCAAGCCCCTCCCGCTCAATCTGCTGCAGAGCATGCATGAGGGAGGGGAAGTTAGTCCCCTGGATCCAAGCAGCGGGGTGACGAGTGAGAATAGGGTTGTTTGTGGGTTTGGACAAGAGGTTGACGGGGTGAGTGGGAGGGGGAGGGGAGGCGTCGAGCAGGAGGTGCATTATGTGGGGACGGTGCTGGGGCTGTTTATGTTGGCTACGATGGTTTGGGTTGCGGGGGAGTGGGTGTGGATGAGGTGGGTTGCTGACTGTTTCTGCTTGCAGAGAGATGATTGTACTGACATGACACGCAGGTTCTTTTCGAGGACCGGAGCTATCATGCTGGAGGGCGACGAAAAGGCTCTAAGAGCCGAGTTCGACGCCCTGACGGCTGAGGTCAAGGCCCTGACTGCGGAGGTCGAGGCCGAGACGAAAAGGATACCCACAGACTACTCTTGAGCGTAGTCGACGCGATTGACTATCCGGTCTGATCACAAGACCACGGCGAGATGTTCATTACGGGATTTCTTCGAAGCGGTCTACTTTCAGTACTCACATCCTCTACCAGAAGCAAGACTACGGCCGAGAAACGCTCGACCGAGCTCCTTGCTACTCACCCACACCTACTATCGGCCATCGTTCCGGATAGGCGTATCCCTGGAACATCATCATCCGCACTGCCCTTTCTGGCCTCTACTTTCGTCTCTGGAGAGGCCAACACAGCGCAGTACCACTCTCGGACTATCCAAGAGGCTTTATCATATGTCTCCATACACATGCTCCTGCACTCTGCATCGCGCTATCCTGCATTCGTCCACCTTCACGGGGACTGTTCGGAATGCCCCCTGGGAGGTTACATATAGGCGTAAAACCAATATCATCATCATCACGGGGACTGTTGGGAGACACGGGCCAATACCACACACACGATGGCTGGGGGACAGTCAGGATCGTTGGAACAGCCAAGCGGGGAATATATACGGGTGGTCTGGGAATAGCATTGAAGGTTTACGAGATTTTGTATCAATAGCAAAACGTTACATGTATACAACTCGCTCTTTCACGTGTCTGTACTCATTTCAAGTGTGAGATGTCTTTTACCATGTGTCGCAGATTCAACAGCTCTGAAACGGTACTGTAGCCGTGTGTATCACGTCATAAGACTATCACATAAGATACACGCCGATAAGTTCAGATCTCATGCATGTGAACTAGTTATGTTTGAATCAATGCTATATTACGCATTACTCTACATAGTATCGTAACCAGTTGACATCGCTTTTACTTCCCTCTTCTAAAACCCCCATCGGCCAAACTAGTAAACAAGATTCGCAAACGCGAAAGGGGGTATAAACGCTCTCAAATAGCTATCCCGCCTATACTCCAGAAGATGCAACACCGGCCAAACAAGGTCAGCTGCTATATAAGTATGCGAGCGAGTCTGAGACTCAAGCTTCAATGCGCCGATTCCGGGTACGAAAGTTGGATTTTGGGTTCGTAAAGCCTGCCAGATGTGTTAGCCCTGCAAATCTTCACTCTTTGCCCGAGTCCGAGGCAACTTACATGAATGTCTCGTACCTTACCCCCCTCCTCCTCACCCTATTCCTCTCTTTCGCTATCCCATCCTCCCCACTCCCAGCAAACAACACCGGTTCCCAATCGACAACATCCCTCCACCTCTTCATGAGCTTCCGCCAGTAACACGCTTCCGCCGCTTGCGTCAGATATCTTTCCCTGAATACCTGCACCGAGTTATCTGCTATGCGCTTCGCCTTTTCAGGGTGATCGAGCAGGTCCTCCATAGCAGATGCTAAATCGGAAAAGTCGCGTTCGACCTCGACGAAGTTCTGGTTGGAGCCGTTGGAGCGGAAGAGGTAGTGGTGGTGTTGTATCCATTGGAGTTTGTGTGAGACGATTACTGAGCGGCAGAGTTGGCGGTATTTGAGGGAGCCGGAGTAGGAACGTCCTGCATGGGGTTGTTAGTATGCAGAACTCTGTTAGTGGTTGGGGGTATAATACCTTCGGCGTGAGCAATGAACATGTAGTTACACTGGTCCACCGGCCCGAGAAACTGCTCTTTGAAATTTGGATCCGTCCATTTGAGTTGGCCAACGTCGCTCCATGGCTTGCCTTTTGCTGCATCGAGGAGCGCTCTCCGCAGCTTAGGCGCGAAAGTGATTTTGCCTCTCCAGACTAGCTTCTCGATCTTTTGGTCCCACGACTCGACGGCTTCCCTTTGAACCGCCTCTTGAGCGACTTCGTCCAGTGTACCCAGCGCGGGCATGTCCCAGCTCCAAAACCCAAAGTCGGGTATTAACCAGAGGTTGTGGTCTTGGACGCGGCGGGTGAGGGACCATATCGGTTTGTGGGGTTGCGCAGGGAGGTCCTCTACGGAGAAGACGAATTCGATGTTTGGAATATCGGCGGTTGAGGGGGCGGCGAGAATGGCGCGGTATATGGCGCTGAGAGTTGCAATGGCTTTTTGGCGGTTGACGTTATCGACCATGTGAGTCTCGAGGATGTAGAGCTGTTGTACGTTAGCATGCGCTCAGCACTTGCCAATTGTCCAGGACTCAACAAACCTCTCTATCGTAAACCATAGCCCTCACCATCCCCTTCGTAAGCTCGAAGCTATTGAGATCCGCCTGCGTCACCTTACCCCAGCGACTCCGCACCTTAACCGCACGTTCAATATCCTCGTATTGCCCCGGAAAAGCGCTATCGCACTGCGCTTCATCAAGCCCATAATTATTCTTATCCCTTGGATACGTAAAAGTCCACAGTCCATGTTCCTCCAACTCGGTCGCATTAGTCGTGAGAATAGCCTGATTTGCAGCGCAATCGAGACAAGTGTCGCAGGAGAAAGTCGTACTGAACTCGCACAAACAGCGGCCGGCGGGCATGTACTCTTTGACCAGCGGGGGTAAGGACGGGTTCTGTGTGCGCGTGCCGTAGAGAATGGTGCAGATGATGAGGAAGAGCAGGGCGCAGGCCGAGACGAAGAAGAAGGAGAGGACTTCTCCGCCAGTCGGACAGCGGCGACGGTATACAGTCTTGTCCTTCCGCTCCTCCACTATCCACATCTTCTTCATGAGCATGGGTGCTGGTGGGATCCGGGCGACGTGAACCGGAGCGACGATGGGGGGTGCGGGTAGCGTGGACACGCGAGCGAAGTCGGTCGCGCGTGTCTATATTATCGAAATTGGGGAGCTTCGGAGCGTGGCTGGAGGCGACATGGATGGCGACACTACCAATATGAATATGTACAAGTGAAAGGGAAGCGAAGCGCTATGACGGCGTCGACGAGGAACGAGGGTCGGCACGCGACTGGCAGAGGTGAAGGGTTCCAAAGACGGTTGTGGAAAAAGAAGAGGGGCGGCGATGGGGACAGCCGGCGGGAGGAATGACGATAGACGCTTCACGGTGGAGTTGGCATGGTGATGGACAAGACGGGTTGCCCCCAATGGGAGATACGGTGAGGGCGTTGCGGAGTGCAGTGCGCGGCGGGATATTTAGATCGGTCAACGCTTAGTACATTACAGTAGTACGTATGACAGGGGCGAGAAGGTACCGACGCCTCACATGCACCTCGTCGTTACCTCAACACTATGTCTTCAGATTGTTCGCAAGCAGATACTCTAACCTCGAATGCAAAAGCCAGAAGAACATAGACTATAACTGCATACAGTACTGTACAAATAACCTCCATCACACGCGCCCCGCCTTCCCCACGCGTTGTCCGTCGCCTGTCAAGCATTCGGCTGCACCCGCTGCAGGATGCGAATACGAGCATAGGATCCTCGTCTATCAACTTCAGGCCCCCCGTGCAACTCAGGGTGCAACTATCACAGTATACCTGCACAACCGCACTGCATCCGTCGTGAGATGCGACCCTGCGCGCGCTTACCTTGGAATTGTTGAAGCACGCGCGGCCTCTAGCACCTGCCAGCCCAATCCAGTTAGGTGGCGCACGCGACCCACCTGCATTTCCTTGATGTCATTCAAGCCACCTGCTTCAAACGTGTCTAGGTGTATTGTCGAGACTATTGACGAGGGCAATAGTCTTCGTATCATCACTACATTATACTGCGAGCGCATGCAGATGCACCTATTTAGCTCCATACAAGTATACAAATTAACACTGTAGGACGCGTACGTGTTCACATAGCGCATACAATGTCTACACATACTTGGTTCGTAGCGTCCCGCGGCAGTTGAAATGTAACCGACGTCAAAGCAAGTGTTGATCCATCGGGCATTAAATTCTTCTGCGTTTGTGGGTCGTGGGTCAGTTCCATGGTTGTCACGCTCGTGGGTAGTGGGTCACCCGTTGCATGTCTGCGCAAGCATGCAAGTGCCGGTGTGGAGTACCTTACATCATCGAACTATATTGTCTATGATGGGTGGAGCACACGAGAGTCATGGCAGATGTGAGGACGTTTGCTTTTATGATGGTGATGGACATGCAGTCGAACGTGGCAGATAAAGATTTCACCCACATCCACGGAACAGTAGTCAATCACAGGATCCTCGAATCCCATACAATGCATTCACAAACTCCCCAAAACCGGCGCTCAACCCGTTGTACCCTACGAGGAGGCCATCAATGCTACGCGAAACACCTAGATGCAATAGTCGGGACCAACAAAAGAGACACTAAAACCATGTAACGTGAAGAAGCCACACTGAAGACGATTGGGCAAAAATATGGATAAAAAGGCTATGTACATGAGAAGCCTGAAGTAGTGAAAGAAGCTCGAAAAAGAAGGTAAGTAGGCAAAGAAGGGAGAAACAAGGGCCTAAGAAGTTGAAATCGCTGGATGCTTCCATAGCAACCCTACGAGAAAGTGGGATCAGCGACCAACAAGCCCTACAACAGACTGCAGGGAACATGTAAAAATGCCGAATGTATACGGCGGCGCTGATCCTCACCTGTACAACACGTCTGCCGCTTATGCCGACAGCACGTGCATGTCCTCCTCATCCGCATCTTTGCGGATTCCAAACGGTTGAAAGGCATTTGTCTTGCCTTTGTGAGCGTGTACCGCGAGGCCCATCTCGCGCATGCGTTCTGCGCCGCGACCAGGAGCGGGACGCTTTTCTTTGGCACCTTTGCGGTGTTGCTTGCGGTACAGCTTCTCCTTGCGTCGTTGCCTCTTCTTCTCGAGCCCGACTTTGATGTCGATGGCGCGGCGGATGGGCATGTCGGAACCGTCGGCGTCTTCGTCCTCGTCGAGGTCGAATGGATTCCTCATGGTGATGGGGGTGCGTGGGACAGAGGCTGAGACTGTGGGTGCAGGGCGCTCGGCGATGCCGGCGAAGCGGATGGAGGTATCGCTGCGCTGACGTGTGGTCATGTTCACAGGGTTGACGGAGCCGCGACGTGTAGGTGGTGGAGACCTAAGGCGCATTGGAGGCGGAGGAGAATGGTGGCGCTTGGGGGAGTTTCCAAACAGCTTGCGTGGTGGGGGAGAACGGTGCACAGCACGCTTCGCTGGTGGAGGTGATCGCAAGCGCTTCGGTGACGGCAGAGGAGATCGCTTCTTTGAAACCTCTTTGCGGCGACCTCGTCCATCGATGTTGACGGGGTCCATGCGGCCATGAATCATGAGATGATCAGTCTCGGAAGCTTTCTCGTCTTCTGAGACCTCATCCTCATCATCATCAGGTAGCTCGGGATCCGATGTCGGGAACGTAGGGTCGATGTCCTGTGGAGTAGGCTTGTGCTTGGCCGCACGTCGACGTTCAAGTGTCGACATGTACGCAGCTTCAGCCGGCCTATCCTCATCAAGCGTACCGCAGACGAAGTCTGTGCTGTCAGGCAGCTCAGGGGTGGGAACGCGGATATTGACCGGCTTCGATGACTTTCTGCGCTTGGAAGGCTTGTCCATGATCTTGAGACCTTCGCGGCTTTCCAAAGACCCGATCGATGATTCAGAGACGGTTCGGTGAGTCTTCAGTCGAAGCTGTTCCAGATGCTCTACAGATGTCGCTGCAGTTGATGCTCCAGGCGCCCACCAGTCGTAGTCAGACCCGGCATCGCTGTCATCGTCTGAGACGGCAAATCCGTTCTCATCATCAGTCTGGAAACCCTCGTCAGTCGCGTCGCTGTACGCGGCATCGTCTTCATCCTCGTCTAACAGATCGTCATCGTCGTCATCCATTTCGACGTTGTCCTCATCGTCGTCCTCGTCCTCTTCATCGATGGCTTCCTCTTCAGCAACCTCCTCGCCTAGCTTACGCAGGTTGTTCTCAATCTTGAGCGTATCCTGGACCGTAAGCCGGCTTCGATGGCAGGTAACTTCTTGAGTCCACTCTTCGACCTCCTCTTCTGAGCTAGCAAACTCGTGGAACCGGTATGCTTCACAGCGGGCAAGGTCGGAGTTGGAACTCAAGCGCCGCGTGTGGTCAACCGGGCGGACTTTACGCACGCTCACGGGGGAATTGTTGCGGACAGTAGAATCGGAGTCGCGATGGACTTTGGTGGTTGGCTTGGGAGACGAGGGTATCCGGCGTGGTGGCGGTGCGGGGCTGGCCATGCGGCGGGGTTTCGGCGCTGCTTCTGTAGATGGCTTGGACGGGCACGCGAACTTGATGGTGCAGACGCGCTTGGGGGGTTCTTCGGCCTGAGGAGCAGGAGCAGGCGCGGGCTTCGCAGGTGCCTCTGCTGGCTTCTTGTCCTCCTTGGACCCGCACGCAAACATGATGCGCCTCTTCCTTCCCAGAACAGCCTCGATGCTCTGCTCGGTGCTCTGAGCGGGCGCGGTCTTGGGTGGTACTGGGGTGATGTTCTCGTCGTCGTGTGAGACCACGGAGATGGGTAGCTCCAACGGCTTGTTGTTGAACGTGGGCAGCATGCTGTGGAACGCTGCCGAAGGAAGTGGCGGGCTCGGCGTGCAGGGCCGTGTGCCAGGGCTCGTGAAGCCTCCATCGCTAGTGAGATCTGCGGTGCCGCTGTTGTTACTCCATGTCGAGACGCACGACATGCCGCGGACGGGGCTCGCATCCGAGTGTTCCTCAACAGGCGAGCTCGCGTTCGAGCCCGACTTGAGCGCCGAGGTAAGGAGCGATGCTTTGCGATCGATGACGGGTTTCGATTTGGTGAAGGATGTGGAGGAGGAATGCTGGAGCACCAGGGGCGCAGGGCGTTGCGCGCGAGGTTCAGGGGGTTCGTCTAGGTCGCCGACCGCCTCCTCCTCTGCTGTCATATCTGGCGGACATGTATTCGACATGTTCTGCTGTGTGTTTACTTGCAACGCGCCCTGTCTAGCAAAGTAATCCTGCTCGTTCGCCATGTGTTCTGTAGTCGGTGGTGTATCGATCGAGGAACGTGCGTGGGGTCGGTGCAAGGTCGTGTATCAGATTCAATTGCTGAGTGCGAATAATATTTCGAAGTGATGCCGTAATAGTGAAGTTGTGTGGTCGTGATGCAAGCGGGTGAGGCGTTTCACGGTTTCTTTTTGGCGCAGTGCACCTGGCGCAGCGTTCCTGGACCCTCGTTAGAGCAGGAGGCGTGCTATGTCGATCGTGTCGAGTGCAATGCAATTAGAGGCGGTTCGGCGGATTACTGCTGGGCGGTATGGATGGGTGTGTGGGAGAGTGGGGCCCCAGTGAGGCGAAGTGTTATAATATGGACAGAAACATGGTGGAGCTGTGTGTGAGGAGCCTTGGGTGGAACTAGAAGCGGGCTCGAAGACGTGTCAGAAGCGACAAGCGTCGGGCAGTGTCGAGTGGGAAGGGGTACCTGGAGAGGATGAGGTCGAGTTCCCACAGCGACAGCGACGTGTGGCGACGGGCCGCAGGCTAGCAGAGGGCCCGTTGACAAGTGCGTGAGTGAGCGGTGCTAGGGACGGTGCAGATCGAGAGCCAAGCTGTGCTGTCAGGCGACTTCAGACTGCAACAGTAGTGGCGCAACGCAGGTGGGACTGGTGGTAGGAGAGAGGGAGCGAGGAATTTGATATGCGCTCTGGCGGCTCGGCACCATCTGGTCTGCAAAGCACAAACAGTGGGTAGCCGGCATTTTAATTCGCGCCCACGCCCGCGCAGCCAATGCCACGCATGGCCTTTGTCAATTGTGCACTGGTCTAGCAATGCACCTGCTCACGCTGCCACACCTGCCCTTCCGTGACACGAGCCCTTTGGCCGTCAGATTCGGCAATCTCTGCGCGCAGTCACCCTCACTCATCAACAATCAATGAACTTTGTTGCGGCTGTTGTATTGCTTTGTTATCGCCTTTGTTGTTGATTATTGACTTCCTCCCCTTGTCAGTGCGGAGATGACATCTGCGACTAGAATACTCCAGCACCTGGGAGTATGCCAAAGCAGGTTTCATCCTTCCAGCACAGCCGATGCAAGACGCAATCGAGCAGCGCAGCCCATGCCATGCTGAATTCCGCAAGCTTCGGAAGCAGGACCCTGATCAACGCGACGCCGCCGACAACGCCCCGCTAGCCAGCCCTCACACCTTCTTTTGTACCATCTGTCCGACGTCGCATGCATCAACACGACCACATGCACGCCCTCTGCTCAACCCCAAGCACGGCGGCTTGATACCATTTTCCTCAAATGCCTCATTCCTCGCCATGTCTCGATATCTCCTTCCTTCTCCCTTCTCTCAGCTCCACATGGCAGCTTCATCTCTTTCTGCCACCTCCACACCGCTACTTGACCGCTTCTCCTACACCCGCGCCTCACCTTAGTCCAAAGAGGACGCGTCTACACTGTAGAAAGTAGTCCATCATCTGACTCCATTCAAGCCTCAAGAACGGGATACCGGTTTAACCCACCGTGCTCTGCCGCCAATCTGCAGCTGCACGATACTTGTCGTGCAGTGCCCAGCAAGAGGGTCCATCTCACGTCTGGGGTTCCGTTCGCTGAGACGCAGTATAACATTTCGCCAGCAAGCGCCTCAGCCGGCTCCAAACGAGCCTGTCCCAATCGCCGACATTGTATTCGCGGGGAAGGCACCCGTACCCCATGACGCGTGACGCTCCTGCTTAACAACCCCCACGCGTGGTTTTCGCGCCAATACCAGCGTCCTGTTGCTTCGTACTCCTCCCATACGTATCTGCTACGGCTGTGTAGGAGGAAAAGGTACCCCACACAACTTACGCAGTGTACAGTACGCAGCTTGGGTATTACCCGGTAGCCGGCACGGCTTGCTACTTGCGGTCAGGCCTGAACAGCTGTCTGCCGTCCTCTTACATCTAATCCTTGTCTCTGCATCGCGATATGACGTAGTTCCTCCCTTCCCATTCCCGAACAACCGATCCTCATCATATGCGCGTGATATCAGCAGCGTCGTAAACACACATACATCGGCGCTCTCCTCCACCAGCACCACGTGTTGGAATGTGGAAAGTACGAGCGATGTAGTTTGGGACTACCCCTCATTTGCTAGTTTGACTCGGCAGCGGCGCGCGTACTAATGTTGCTTGCTTGCGCCATACTTGCCTGAAGTGTGCAGTGTGGTTTCAAACTGGCTAAAACGTTAGAAGCTGGGTTACTCGTCTCGACATGCGAAGAGCTAGCAGTGACAGACTGGGATGTTGCTTTGCTGCGAACAAGACCCCTGATCCGTAATGGGTGAAGAAGTATATCAACAGCACTACAGTATGTCTGCACACCTCTAGACCTGGCCGTTCACATCGTACTATCATTCCACATCACCAGACACTCTATCCCTCCTTCCCCCCTTCTCTACCGCACCAATCCCATCTCACCCATCACCCACCGTCACACAACAACGTCCCGTCGATCCCGCACCTGGGGCCAAGCCGCCTAAGCTACACACAACCTTCCCCCCAAGACACTCCTTACTTCAGCCAAGCGGCTCGGCATTTCTCCTAGTCACCTGCTTGTTTCACGACCCGCTGATCCAGTGCGAGTAATACCGAACAAGAGACCAACAACATATAGTACACTGGGGTAAACTCCGGGGAGTGCGTGGAGGCTATGGGGTAAGACGATTGCTGGAGATTGGGTATGGGACACAAGACAGGTACTCTGTCTAACATTCTTTCCCTGTAAGTTGTAGTACCAGATACGTGCCTCATACATCGCACAATACAGATATTTTGCTGAACGTTCATGTCAGAACACCTGCTCACTATCGAGAACAGCTGTGGTGATTCTCGTCTCGCCCCAAGACTCGCCCCTATGCAAAGATATCGCTTTCGGTGTAGTGATTTCTATTATCAGACGTACAGCTGCACTTGAACTCCATCTTATTCATCCTCCCCAGGTATACTCAACCTCCTCAACTCCTGAATCTGATTCCCCAGCTGCCGCTTCTCAACCTGCAACTCCTTCCTCCAATTATCCCTGACAAAATCCAGCGTCCGTGCAAACACCAGCTCCCTCTCACTGCGCTCATGCTGAGGTACAAAAGTATCCGGAAACTGCGTCCAACCATGTCTGCACCCAGGTGCGTGCCACACTTCCATGCCTCCGTTCTGGCTACTGGGCACATTGTCCGATCCCGCTTGTCCACCTTGGCGTCCGTCCCAGTCGCCTGAGCGCCCGTCGCCGAAGCGTACAGGCCCGTTCCAGTCGTTGTTGTTCATTTTGTCGACCCAGACGTCGCTTTGCACGGCTAGGGTGTCTTTTTCAGGTAGGACGAGGAGGATGGCGGCGTTCTTCTGGATGTGCATTGGGTCGTTCAAACCGGGGCTGGCTCGCGGGTGCGGTCGTAGTTTGCGCGGGAGGTAGGTCGGGCCCATGATTGAGAATAGGCCAGGTGCTTTCGGCTTCTGTTTGTGGTGGTCGTCTGGTCGCAGCGCATTGGGCAAGGGTTTCATGGGACGTTCGTGTGGGAGTAGGCGTGCGTCGAGCGAAGGGTAGAATAGGAGGAGCGGCAGCATGCGGGGCTGTGCTTGAGCGGGAGGGAGGAGAGAGGGCCACGACTCGAAGGGATCGTCTAGGATAGTGGCTCTGCGGTTTTCGGGCATGATAGGCGACATGGTGTCTGCATGCGCAGGCTCATTCGTGCGCGAGCGAGGACCGATCGTAGTCGACATGCCGAGTTCAGGACAAGGCGGTACTGATATAGCCATGTTCAAGGCGATGTTTCCTCCTGCTGAGAAGCCTGAGATCGCGAGACGTGTAGGGTCGAGGGTGATGGTCTTGACGTGCTCAAGATGTGGTGCAAGAGGTTCCTTCTTCTTCTTTTCCAGTGCGCCATCCCGTACTATGGAGTAGTACCGCTGAATTTCCTCTCTAAGGACCTTGCCGGCTTTCGAAACTCCACTTGTGTCTAGGATCGCGGACAAGACGTCTTCCGCGTCGTGAATAGCGGCGGGGAATTGGTGGAAGGGTCCAATGCGATAGGATACGCTGATGACTACGGCGCCGAGCTCACGCGACATCATCGACGCATAAGGGGCTTGCTCCAAGGGCGATCCCATTATGAAGCCTCCGCCTAGTGTTGTTAGCCACGAGCGTCTTCATAAACATTCCGGTTTCGTACCATGAAAATCCAGCACCACAGGCACACGCCATTCCCCAGTCTCTTTCCTCTCCTGGTCGCCATTGCCTTCGAGGTCGACTGGTTTCGGCGGAACAAAGACGTAGATATAGATGAGGTTGCCCTTTCGACTCGGCAGCGATATGAGAAAAGGATGGGGCCCCTTAGGCGACGTGACGTGCAGGATGGAGAGAGGAACGAATCGCGGTATTTGGACAAGCGCAGTGCTGGATGCAGTCAGTGTCGGCCTCGCGCATTATTCATTACGGGATCTCCTACCGCCATTGTATGTGGAAGGGGAGGCGGAAAAAATAGGCAATCGAATGGAAATAGCTGCTCATCGTGATTATGACACGGAGGTAGACAGGGCGACGGCGTTCATGACGCGGAGGACTCGTTGTATGCGGCTGCGTCACGCATTGAATGCTGAGTGAGCAATGTGCGTTGCGCGTTCAAAAGGACTAAGGGGGACGCGGACTGTGTGCCCAGCTGGAAGGCACGGAAGCCATGGTTGGGTGTGACGTCAGATGTTTTTCGCGCTGCGATGCGATACAGGGAGATCGTGCGTTGCCGAAATTGTTGATGGTGTTTCAAGCCGGCCCCGGCTAGGCCAAAGCTTGATTGCGCGAAGCATCGCAGGGGTCATCCACCACACCTGGGCACTTCCTATTAGCACTGTCTTGTGTCAGTTCGTGCCCAATGTAGATACCTTATGAGTCTGGTTTTGACAACTCCGGGGCATACGCCTGTGCGAAAGGACCTTTTGAGTGAACGCGCTTGTTGCTACACCTGGCAATGTCAAAAGTACCGAACGTCACATCACAAAAGCATGGACAAGAACATAGTTTACAGATTTACTCTGACAATTGGTATATGTAGACTAGCTGACCATGATCATCATGCTACATATCAGCGGTACTGCACCCTGCAACTCATATGCAAGGCCCTAGACCACCGCGAAAGAGAAGTCGTTTTCGCGTCATATCGTGAAGCGTGAATCGTTGACCCGAGTACTCAGCCTGGAGCCGCGCAGACGCAGGCGATGAAAGCAAGCCGCATGGAGCAGGCTAGCTAAGCACTTTTGGAAGAAGGTGAAGGGCTTTGGAGAACAAAAGCAGCTTACCAGGCAGCGGCCTTGTCGTCGGCGTCGGCATCAGCAGAGAAGCCTCCTCCACCTCCACCGAAACCGCCGTCATCGCCACCGAAGCCAGTGTCAGCGGCAGCCTCTCCACCGAAGCCAGTAGCATCAGCATCGAAACCGCCTGCATCGCCTCCACCGAAACCATCACCAAGGCCATCATCAGACTCATCGTCAGTGCCGTCGTGCCACTCGATAGTGTTGGGATCCTCGGGCATGTGCTCTTGGAGAAACTCTGGAATTTCCTGCTTGCTCTCGCATAGAATCTTGCAGAGGTCTGGGCCAATGTCTTCGTTGCGGTCGTTGAAGAAGGACGTAGCCTTGCCCTCGTTGCCGATACGCGCGGTACGACCAATGCGATGAATGTACTCCGTAATGCCGTCATGCATGGTTGAAGGAAGGTCGTAGTTGATTACATGCTTGACATTTGCGACATCAAGGCCACGCGCAGTGACACCGGTAGCGACGAGAATTGGGCAGCGGCCGGTACGGAAGGACCGAAGAGCGTCTTCACGCTCGCGCTGAGTACGATCTGAATGGATTGAGGTGACAGGCATGCCCTTGTTGTATAGGAAGTCGTCAACCATATCACACTTCACCTTGGAGTTAGTGAACACAAGGGTGCTATAATGGCAAAGTTAGCGACTCGCACTCGCTGTGGTTGTCAGAAAAACTGTACCGTTGAGGGCCTTCGCTGAAGATCAAGTCAAACAGTGCCTGGCTCTTGGCGCTCTCCTCTGCGAAGATGACCTGCTGGGTGATGTTTTGATGGGTACTGCCGACCCTACCAACCTCTGTATATTGTGAGCGGGTTGTTCGTCAAACTGGGGAACTGAAAACATACTAATACGGACGCAGTCCTCATCCATGTATTCACGTGTCAGACGACGAGCTGACTTGGGGAACGTGGCAGAAAACATGAGATACGTGTGGTCGGCATCGTCGTTCTGGTCTAAGCAGTTGTCAGCAGGTGATACAAAGAATGATCCAGCAAGTAATTCTTGGAAGTCCATGCTGGGGATGATGTGTCAACATACCTGAACCAGCGAACAGCTTCTCCATGGCCTCTTCCCAACCAGTGGAAAGGAGCTCGTCGGCCTCATCGATTACGGTGAACCTGTTCGTGTCAGTCAGTTATGAAGTACCTTACAAGATTGCTTGACTTACTTCAGGCGGTTGAAGGACAGCAAGTTGATGTTGGACATGAAGTCCATGAGGCGACCCGGCGTGGCGATGAGAATGTCGCAGCCCATCTCGAGCTGCTCACGCTGATTCCTGCTGGGGGCGCCACCGTAGATGACGCAAGGACGCAGCATAGTGCGGTAGCACACTAAACGGAGGTTATGAAGTCAGTATGTGTCTCACATGAATGTTGTACTTGGGTACCTACGACGACGTGCCTCGTCAAAGATCTATCACGAAACCAGGTCAGTATACGTTCAGCATGTACTTCGTATGATAGAAACTTACCTGACAAGCAAGCTCACGCGTAGGGCAGACGACCAGGACGAGTGGCTCCGCACGGACTTTGTCGGTGAGAGGGTTGTAGCGGACCGGGTTGGGGCGCGGCGCAGCGAGTTGACGGGCCTTGCCCATGAGCTTGGAAAGAATCGGGAGGAGGAACGCAGCAGTCTTGCCGGAACCTGAGTAGTGTTAGTAGGAAGTAGAGTGAGTACGGACGAGGCGACTTACCAGTCTGTGCAACGGCGACCACGTCGTGTCCAGTCAGGATAGCAGGGATGCAGTAGGACTGAATCGGGGTCGGGGCCACGTACTGGCACAACTTGACGTTGTCAAGCATGATCGGGTGGAGACCGGCATCTTCGAACTGACAAAGTTTAGCAAAGAAGCATGCGAAGACCTGCAGGCCCAAGTTTCAGTGACTTACGTTGCGGACGGGGCTGATCTTGGTGGGACCCGAGAGAGTGACGTCGAACGAGAGCGCCTTGATTGCACCACCGGCGCGCTGGAGATACTGGTCGGTGAAGAGCATCTTCTCGAGCTCAGGGTTGGGTTCTCCAACATCGCCGAACTCGTCGTCCCACTGGTAAATAGCAGCGTCCGAGAGCCAGACAGCAGTGTCGCGAGTGTCGTCCTCGGCAGGAGTGCCACCAACGACTGTCTCATACTGGAAGGGAACTGGGTTGTTCCATCCGGCTTCCTGGGCGCGCGCAAGATCTTGAGCCTGCTGCTCCTTGCGGGCAGCGCCGGCGTCGGTCGCAGTCGCCTCGGGAGCTCCTGCGTCAGACATGACGATGAGGGGAGAAGGTAGAAAGTGTAGAAAGTGTAGCTATTGCTTGGACGAGACTGCTAATTGCAGCGTGTGTGAGAGTTGGGGATGTGGGGTAAGGGAGTTGGAGGTAGCGGGGAGAAAAGCTTGCGTTGTTTATATGGACAGAAAGGGTAGGAGCTGTGCGCAGTAGCGTCTCTTAGCGCGCTTTCCAAAGGAGATACTGGTGCCTGGGTGACCACGATGATAAGCGAGAGATCAGAAGCTTCCACATTTGAGGTGAGTGAGGATAGGTGAAGGAGATAGTAAAGGGACTGCCAATATCTGTCCTGCGGTATCAAGATGATATCGACGCACTGTACGATGACGCAGTAGTTTCTGGCAGCTGTGACGAGTGGACTGTCATCCCGGATCAAGCATGAACGACTCGACTCAAATTGAAGAAGTAACAGGCCATATGAAATGCGAGCTCCTATATCTTGCACGCAGGTATATCGGTAAAGTGACGCTCGAGGCGATGGCGCCACGGTGAGAAGAATAGTGAGAATTGTGGAGATGGCGAGGCTCGCATGAGAAATTCTATCAGACTGAAAGTGATGTGTTGTCGGGCATGCAAATCGATTTACAACAGTACACGTCTGACATGCTCGTTGCCGCTTTCTCACACAACAGGTGGAGCACGGAAGAATTGTTGCTGAGAGCAGCGAATAGTTATTGGCTTCCTTTCCTTTTACTTTGAACAAAGATGCACTTTTTCGCCTCTAGAATACGTGACAGTCAGGGCGCTTTGCGAATATGAGGACTGAGAAATGACTTGACAATGAATTGGTAGATGTCGATAAGAATAGAAAGGATGCAATGGGAGATCTTCTTACATGTACAAACGGACTGAAACTACTATCTCATGATTCACATTCGCAACAAGGCCAGTGTTGTCAAGACTGCGCTTCGTCTCACAAGTCCTTGTGTAGTACCAACTTACATTTCCAACCCCTTGTGAAGTAGATGCAATACACATAGCCCAGACGGGCCTGTCTGCACATAGCACGACCCTATACTGTATGTTACTTGTGACATGTAAGAAAGTACGGAATTGCGGTTGCAAGAAGTCGTAAATATGTAAAGAGATACAGAAGACGTCTGCAGCAGTCGTTGTCACGACGTGACCCAAGGAGGACACTATGCCGGAACCGAGCTGGTGTACCGTGCCTGAATCATGGATGGCGGGCCGACTGAACCAGACACGCGATGACGCGCCATACATGCCGACTCCAGCTTCGCTCACAGCCGCAATGCTCGTCTTCTTGACCATGACTTCCGGGATCGCGACGACAGAATGGTCATTGTCGGCTATACGTTCTGCGGTACACAGGGGAAGGCGCTACTGACAGACTTCTCCGCAGCTTCCTGAGCCCCTCGATCGCTCTCACGACCGCGACCGCACGACCGCCTCTACGACAGCGACACACATCGGCCGCGTGTGCCATGATAGAACACTATGATGCTCTCACTACTATGCTGCTATTTTCGCGATCTCGACACCGCCGACAGCAGCTTCGACAGCCGCCACGGCGCCGGCTCAGACGCGCATGCCCACATGCATCGGCGGTGCCTTGTCGTCGGCCATATACACCTAGAGCCTTCTGTAGAACCATGGGACTTCAGCTGACAGACAGGGCTGTGGCGCGATGATTTAGCGTCGAGAAGGCATACGATACTCCGGCGTACTCCAACGTGTCGACGACACCACGTAGCTGCACATGCTCCAGCAACTAGAGCGATAATGTATGATTCTACCAAACTGCGGAGTGCAAGCACTATTCGCCAGCAGGGCACCCGCCGCCTCAAGAGCGACCGAAGCTTCTCGTTGAAGAACCCACATCACAGGAATACCTCGCCCGAGGCCCTCTAGCCCGACATGCGAAGCTACACGCTCGAAGAGAGAGGGAATGACAAGGACACACAGCCATGACGATGCGCGCTCTCTTTCTGTACGAGAGGCCCTCTCTCGCATCCGTCATGTTGGAAGCCGGCCACTGCAATGTGAGCCGCGAAGTCCAAGTCCTTTGAGACGCCGAAGGATGCAAAACGTTCCGGACGCCCCAGTCTCAGCTCCAGAATTTCGCTCGTATGCTTCGTTTAACTGGGTGTTTGTCAGCCTTGTTTGTCATGCGTGTTCCAAGAAAATATTGTCTCTCCACCAATGGAAAAGCAATGACTTCTTTCAAGTCGATGTAGATCGGGCTTACTTGTTGCGCCCCCATTTTCCAGGCGGTTTACCCCAGCCCCCCAAGATGTTGCTGAAACGACGTGGATCCATGTTCGGATCCCACAGCGACTCTCCAGGACGGAGCGGCACGTACTGCTCGTCACCCCTGGGGCCGTCGGGAACCAGCTTCTTCCTCTCCACTTCTGTAAGACGAAACGGCGGGTATTGCTCGTTGACCTTAGGGACGGTAGGGTTCGCATTCTTCACTACCACCTTCTCCGCCTCTTTCGCCGCTGCTTTCTTTCGCTCCGCCTTCTCTTGTTCCGCCTTCTGTCGTTCCTCTCTCTTTGCGAGGGTGACCTTGGTAGGCTCGAAGCCGCCCAGGTCGAAGCGCTTGGTCTTGCTGTCGATGAAACGGTTACCGCCGAGAAGCATAGCGCCGTGGTGCGCTGAAGATCTCGAGTTGTCCATCTGATGTTACTTTAGCGTTAGTTAACAGTCACGGGGGCTGAAGCTTACCGCGGCGGAGAGGTGCGATGCAGATGTATCTGTTATCATAAGTTAGTATGCTATTAGGTCTTTGTTGAGCTGCTCCCTAAAGTAGGTAGCATTGTAGTCATAGGTAGACTGCTACCCCGCCGTCCTGCTTGTGTATGCTCGCGATGGCGCGACCGTGGTCTGATCGAATACCTCGAGGCGACTGCGAGACAGTCGAAGAGCATTGAGAAACTTACGGGTACTTGTGTGTCGGCAGCTGGGGTCCTTATTATAAAGGTGGCGTTGAGAGTGGTGCGGTGATTGTGTTAGGAGCACGAAGCAACAGGCAGATTTGCCTGGGAATGCTCGGACGATCTCTTTGCACCTCCGCACTCACCCCCATCACCTTGTACTTTGCCACCTCTTGGGAGCAGTGCATGCGACGCCGCTAGCCGCTGGCGCCTCCGAGATCCCTCTTGCTCATTGAGCCAGTTCGCCTCTCCGAAGGCAGTCCTCGGATACCGATCGATGTCCCCAGCTTGCGACACGCCTCAGACGGAACCGCTTTTCAACGAGGTCGCGAAGGAAGATAGCAGCAGGCCGAGTCATGCTCACCTGTTGTCTCTCGAGACAGTCGATCATCCAACGAGCATGGACTTGAACAAACAATTGAGATGTCAAGGCGGAGATACAGCAAACAGCCAGCCCGCTTATTAGCTGCCCGAGTCATAGTATGGCAATTGGAGAAGGTAAAATGTCCTCGAGCTCGACAGACTGTCCTTAGTGAAGCCCGTAAGAAGTATCGCTGTAAAGCACGCCCCTCGATCTTCTGATATGCTAGGCCAAGTCACAGTGCCCGCATGTATATATAGGCATATAGTCCCCTGTGTTGTCACTTGCTCAAGTCTACATCCACTGTTCCTTGGATACATTCTTCCAACATTCCTAGGGGCTATGCCTTCTGCTTCTCCTTCTGACATGTATCCCGTCGACACAGTAAGCTTCTACTTGTGTGGCGTGCAATGGGCTGGCGAGCAATGTCAAGCTCGAAGGCGAGCTCATTATCTAACGCTTGTGGATTGCTGCATAAGATCTGCAGCATAGTTCCACAAAAAGACGTTGGGCATCACACACATACGAATACCTAGAGAGCTAAACATGTAGCCGAGTCAGCCGCTAAACGCGAGGCTGTCACGCATGTAGTTTAGGCGAGCTTCTACAAAGTCGTTACCCTATCAATTTCGGGCCGACATGGTGTTCTCACAGTACATCATACCAAAAGGTTCTACCGTCCATTGTAACAATCCTACGTTTGATTTTCTCTGACGTTGTGCTTGAAGCCACCCGAAATTGGTGGCTTGTTAAAGTTAGCGAGACATACGTCATCACTCCCTGACTTCCCTGGCGTTGTCCACGCGACAACCCGCGCATCTTGGTTATCTCACATGCACGCCCCTCGTGCACATACCTGCAGGAGATCTCCAGATCTCCAGATTCCATTTTCTTCTTTGTACAACATGCACCCAGACTCGTTGTTGTCTACTGCAGTCTTCACCACACTACCAATTGACTGGCAATGAACGACCCCGGCCTCGACGAGCCAGCAGGCGCGGCAGCGCAAGATGTTAATGACACAGTCCACGACGAAGACGAACAAGCGGAGCAGGAAGAGCGGGAATATCTCGATCCAAGTTATGTCGCCCAGTGCCTCGACATCGCTTTACGTACGCTGACAAACTCAGTCAATGGTGGTTTGCCTCCACAGCGAGTCCCCTCATAGCAGGAACATTCGGCCCCATCGCCAACGGCTTCTCCATCTGCGCCCTCGTTGAAAAGTGGAGAGTATACATCCCGCCGGGAAGCGACGAGGGACACGGCTCGAAGATTACGGATCCGAGATGGCTTATCGCGGTCAATTCAGTCTCGCTCGTCTTTGCGTTGAGTGCAAACATCAGTTTGCTGCTCAACATGTCAAGAAGACTGACGTTTGAGATTGCGCAACCTATCACTATCATCGGCTTCTATCTTGCTGGATTCCTTTTGATGGCGCTCGTGGGGGTCGCTTCGTCATCTGTGTTCCGGATTCAGCCTATGGAAGAACATGCTCTCAGCCAAGCGTATTACTACGCTATCATCGCTGCGGGTATCTACTTCATTATCGCTTCGCTAATGGCCTTTACTGCTTTCGGAGCGTGGAAGGGGCATTACGCTAGAGACTTCCGGCTGACGGCCAGTCAGAGGACGCTGATGCTGCAGACAATCGCCTTTATGGTCTACCTGCTTATCGGCGCTCTGATATTCTCATACGTCGAAGGCTGGATGTTCCTGGATGCCGTGTTCTGGGCCAACTTTACCCTTCTCACAATAGGTTTCGGCGGGGAGTTTGTGCCTAAAACGCATACTGGTCGCTCACTCCTCATTCCATATGCAATTGGTGGCCTAGTCACAGTTGGTTTGGTCATTGGTTCTATTCGATCTCTTATTCTAGAGCATGGAAAGCAAAAGATGGCTGCTCGCTTTATGGAAGTCAAAAGACAAAAGGTTCTCAAGTCTATCGATGGCGACACGCAGACGATACGCATCTCACTGTGGGAAAAGGTCGAGTTCTCCTCGAAAGGTTTGACAGAAGCACAGAGACGAGAGCAAGAGTTCCACATCATGCGCCGCGTGCAAACACTATCCGAGCGCAAGAGGCGATACACCGCGTTAGCTCTATCAACCACAGCAGCAATGCTACTATGGTTCCTAGGCGCTCTAGTATTCATGTACTCCGAAAAGCCGCAAGGATTCAGCTACTTCGTCGCCCTCTACTACGCCTACGTCTCGCTCTTAACGATCGGGTACGGAGACTACGTTGTCGAAAGCAATGCCGGAAAAGCCTTCATGGTCTTCTGGAGCCTCCTCGCCGTCCCCACACTAACCATTCTCATCTCTAACATGGGCGACACAGTCATCAAAGCCTTCAAGGACTTCACCATCTGGCTCGGTTCGCTCACCGTCCTACCAGACGAGGAAGGGCTCAGCGCCGCACTCAAAGTCGGATGGACGCGCATCAAATCCGGCAAGATTGGCGAAAACGAAAAGGCAGGCTACCGCAGCAACTCTGCCGGTCCTACAGAAAACCGCACAGAAGACAGATTAGCAGCCTACATAGAAGAAGAAGAGCTAGGCAAAGCGGAAGAGGCCGGCGAACACGGCGACTATCTCGAACGCGACATCCGCTTCTACCACTTTGTCCTCGCAAAAGAAGTCCGTAAACTGATGAAAGACGTCGAAAGCTCATCGTCAAAACAATACGAGTACCACGAGTGGCAGTACTACCTGCGTCTAATCGGCCAGGACGAAAACGATCCTTCGCACCACCGCCAGCCCAAAGCCAACACTCCGCATAAGCACGATGATGGCGAAGCTCCTGATATCGGCTCTGCGGACGATGGGAAGAAGCGTGCTTGGAGTTGGCTGGGGATAAGGAGTCCGCTCATGGGCAATCAGTCTGAGCCGCAGTGGCTGCTACAAAGGTTGGCGATGAAGTTGGAATCCGAGATGCGCAAGATGAGTTCGTCTGACGAGAAGGTGAGGAAGGCGAAACCACCCATCTCCATGGCAGAATTGAGAAAGCGCAAAGGTAGTGGGAAGGCGTCTGAAGAAACGCAGACAAGGACGTTGCAGGAGGATGTCGAGGCTACGGCGGTTGGCCAGCGTGCTGTCAAAAGTGGTTGATGCTGTGAAGGGGGATGTCTGGGGACGATTATGTGAAGTGCATGTCACGGCGTTTGTGAGTAGTCATTGCTGAGGGGTATACATACATTTTCTACTACCTCTTCCGTACATACAATTTCGGCAGCTTTGATATCCCTCTACCACCCTAATACACTAGTAGTATCACAATCTCCACCATGTCCTCCACACCACCCACCCCCCTACCCACTCTCTGGCTCTTACCCCCTCCCTCCCTCCTCCCCTCCCCACATCACCCTGCCATCGAACCCGCATCCCTCGCCATCAGCGCCCTCCTCGGTTCCCTCGCCCTCGTCTTCATAACAACCTTCCTCATCAGGAACCCTCATAAAAGAAATTTCCTGGACGGCACAAGCGGAACGCCGGAGGAGGAGCAAGCAGAAAAGCAGCTTACTATCAGTGGTCCTCTGGGTACTGTGCTAAGAAGGAATGGGAATGGGAATGATGGGAATGATGGGAATGAGGGGAATGAGGGGACGGGGCACCTGATACCGAGGTTGTGGTCGGGGTTCTCGAGCTCGAATGAGGAGATTGGACGGGTTGGGCAGGGGGTAGAGAGGAGGAGGGTGGTTGAGCTTAATAATATGCCAGCGAGGATGCCGGATACAAGTCATAACGGTATGACAGCGTACCCGCCTTATCCGGTGGAACTAGACATTCTCCCACGCTCACCCCAGAGCATCCATCATCGTTATCCGGATACGTACGCTGGACGCCCAATACCACCACCACCGCCACCTCCCAAAATCCCAATCCTACTCCCCCAACGGAATCCCAACCTCAACACCTACAACACCCCCATCAACCCCATCAACCCCATCAACCCCATCAACAACAGGAACCAAAACGGCGGAAGTTCGCGTCCCCCTCCCCTACGCCCCGCCCCCCGCAACCCACGCTACTCCTTCGGCGACGACGACACGACCGTTGTAGGCGACAAAGCAGACGTCGAGACTCTGCGGAGTGATTTGAGTTTTCCGGATACGGATTCGGATAGGGGTTCGGATAGTGCGAGTTATGAGGAGGGGAGGTGGAAGGGTGGGGATGTGGATGGGAGGGGGATGGGGTTGGTGGGTAGGCATTGGGAGTGAGTAGGATGAGGAGAATGAGTAGGGTGGATTGAGTGGGTGAGCAAGGGGAGGGAGGTGTGAGGGTAGTGATGATTGGGGTAGGAAAGGGAACTGGAATGTGAGAGACAATGTACCTTATCTCGGAATAGCAATTATCTCTTAAGAACGCAATTCTGAATTAATCCTGAGTGTCCTTTATTTCAGTCTCCCAAAGTCCGCCCTAACCTCCACATCCCCCTCCTCATCAACAACCTTCCCTCTATCCCACTCCCGCCCCTCCCCCTTCTTCCTCCACACCACGTCCTCCTCCCCCTGCACATCCCCTCTCTCCCATTTCCTCACCTGATCATCCGTAAACCCGGCTTGTTTCAGTCGATCGGCGCCTTGTTGCTGCCAGCGCGCTCGGTCACGCAGTGCCTCTAGGGCGTCGCCCCAGTCGTCTTCTACGTCGGATGCCGGGCGCACGTCTGTGGTGGGATCGTACGTGGAGGAGAAGCGCGATTCGATGCCGCCGTTTTGCGGTTTGTACGCGTTGCGGCCTTTGGAGCGGACGGGCGGTGAGCGCGGGGGAGGGAGGGGGCCGACGATGGCTTCGAGGGGGTCGGAGGAGGAGGATGCTGGGGAGGGGGAGCGTTTGGTGTTGTGGCGGCTGGGTTTAGGTGGTTGGGTGGTGGTGGATCTGCGTTTTGGGCTTCGGGAGCGAGTCCGGTCTCGGTGTCGGCTGTGTTTTCTGTGCTTTGAGGAATGAGGTGATCGTGATCGTGATCGTGACCGTGAAGATATTCGCCAGTGCGACATGCGCCGTGCGTGCTCGCGATCTTTGTGGTCTCTTCCCCAGGGCTTGTAGCGTTCTTGCTCTTTGCCATATTTGTCTTTACGCGATTTGTCTCGGGGCGACCTTGATCGTCTCCGTTTCCGTTTGGAATGGTCTTCCTCCTCGCTATCATGTCTCCTCTTGTGCCGGTGTCCATCTCTGCTTCGGTCGCGATGCCGGCGAGACATCGGAGTCGTCGAACCATCTGCCTCTGTTTCTCCGCGCCTCCTCCCATGTCTATCCTCATCCTTGCCGCGATCTTGTCGTCTGCTTGACTCTGCTTGGTATCGGTCGATGTCGCTTTCTGATGGCGCCAACCGTCCCTGGTTGCCTGCGCTTTCGACATCGCATCGGCCTGGCGCCCGTGCATCCCCTTGGCCTGGCGCCTGTCGTTTCTCCCGATCCATCATCCTGAGTCGGGCGCGAGACTCGGCAGCCTCTTTAGCAAGGAGCGCAGAGTTGTGGCTGTCAGTCTGTCGGATGAGGTGTTGCAGGAAGCCCTTGTTCGGTCTAGGTGCACGAGACTTCATCCTATAGTATATTAGCACGAGCAGTCTCATAATGGAGTGCTCATGTACTTTCAACGCTCATGCGACTGCACAGCGTGTACGGAGGCTCATGACGCACCTCGGATTGAAGGCATCGATGCCAACGAGCTCGTATTTCTTCGTCGCATTCTTTGCATCCTCTTTCAGCAGCTCTGCAATGTACGCGTCGTCGTCTAGGTCCCTCGCCATGGTGGGCGACTGTTGTTGGGGTGGAGATGAAGGGTCGCAGAAGTCTGACCTTGCGAGATGCCGGGCGGCCATGTGAAATCATTCCACGCGGCGGGCCGTGCTAGCTGCATGCGGTAGTCGCCGCGGGGAACTCAGCCCTACGCGGGCATTCGCGATCCCAAACAAACATTCAATCCTCCAATTCATTTACAACAGACACAATGGGACCCAAGCGAAAATCGGCAGCGCCAACACCAGCCGCAGTGTTGGAACAATTGCAGCAGTCAAAGTCACTCAAGCTCCTGGCTATTGCGGAAACACTGTCGCCAAAGGATCTCCCACAGGCCGCGAAGAAGCGCAATTCGGCGGCGTCGGAGGACAGCGAGCAGAATGGCGACACTCATCCGGCTGCCCTTGAGGCTGATCTATTACATTATAAAGCATGCGTCTTCAAAATGTCATGAGAGAGATACATGCCTAACATTGTTGCAGGAACTCTTCAGCAAGCTACGCTTCAGCTACGTCGAGCAGGTCACCAAGGAGAAGTTCCTGCGCAGCATAACGGAAAACCCACCCCGCCTGGTCGACGCTCACGAGAACGACGAGAAGGAAAAGGAGATACTGGGTCTCAAGGCAGAGCTCAAGGAGCGCAAGTTGGAGGTAGCCGAGATTCTGAAGCAGCTGGAGGACAAGGGAAAAGAGCTCGCACTGCGCTATGAGGGTCTTCAACTACGCACGCAACAGCTCGAGTCACTTCCGGCTGAAACTGCAGGCCTGGAAGCGACCATTGAGCAGCTAAAGCACGAGCAAACACCAGTCTCGACGAACCCTGAGCTGTCTCTCCCACTTCCAGAAACTCAGCGAGTGCTCAGCGAACGGGAGGCGGAGCTCGCAGCCCTGAATGCGCAGATCGCAAGTCTGCAGGCTACCATCCCGAACCGAACCAGAGACTTGGAGAAGCTGGAGCGTGAGCTGAGGCCGCTGGAAACTCAGAAACAGGGAACCGTGGCGGCAGCTAGAGAGGCCCGGAGACGGAAGGAAGAGGGCGGTGGAATCGGAGATGAACTAGAAGAGAGAGGTAGATGGCTCCGAGCGTCTGAAAAGGCGCTAAGGGACATGTTGGATGTTGAGGGATGACGTCCTTGCGGTGAGCGTGTGTTGGGCTTGTTACGGCGTTACGGACTCGAGATACCACTGCTTGAAACGACTTCTTCTCTGCGCAATCGACTCGTGTTGACCCGTCTTCTAACTCGTGGCCATGCACCTGCGAACACGGTGCTTGAGCATGTCCCCTAAGGCGTAGTGACGGTTCGCCTCACTGCCAGCGCATGCACGCCCAAGAGCAGCGGCCAGCAGCGTGCCGAGCTAATCAATCGGCCTCGGAAACCAGAAATTCGAGTCGTCTCAGAATCTGGGCGGCTGGGTGCAGGGGTGCGGCGGGCTGTGGTTGGCCGGCCCCAGCCACTCACCGCCCTTCAACCTATCGATTACGTTGCCAGGCCATTCCACCCATAAACATGCGGCTGGTGGAGCCCTCGACGAGCTAATTGAGCTGGCTACCGATTCCATCCTTTCGTGACATCTGCAGCTGCAGCACCCAGAGAAGACTTTCGCTCCCTGCAGTCACGGAAACCGCTTCTTCCCAACGACGTCCATTGCACGGCGCCAGGAGCTGACGTTCCCCCACCACCGCGAGCTGTCCAACCGGACACGCTCTACACGAATACACGACTACCACCTCGTTCCAGCCTACTTTCGCTATTCTTACGCCTTTCACGACGTTACGACTCTCTGTTTCCACGTATTGTTGCTTGCCTGCGTTGTTAGCGAGGATCCGGTTTTCTGTCGTTACCTCGTCCGTCAGCCTGGTGTGTTTAACGACTTACGCACCTACTTTACGACTGTTTCTGAAGGAATTGGCCATTGAACGCGAAACGGAACATTGTTGCGAAAATGTCCAACCAACTCTCGGACCCCGGGTCGAGCGTCTACGACTCGGCCACGATGCATGTCGGAGATGGCACATGGGACTCGCAGCGCAACACTTTTCTGCTGCCCAACTTGCAAGCCCCCAACTTTGAGACGATGCGATTGAATGGTAAGAATCTTCATTGTTGAAAAAGACTACAGAGACTGACTACTCAGGTATGGGCAACCGCTTCCGCAGCATGGCCAGCTACAAGGCTCTCATCACAGCCCACGGCGTATTAGCAGTCATTGCTTTCCTATTCGTAATACCCGCAGCTATCTTCATGGCTCGCTTCTACCATCGCAACCCACGAACCGCCTTGCGAGTCCACATCTGGTTGCAAGTAGCAGCAGTGCTTCTTTCGACTGCTGCCATCGTCTGCAGCTTCCAAGCTGTTGGCCTCGAGAGATCTCTGACCAACCCTCACCACGGCATCGGCGTTGCGCTATACACTCTTGTTATGGTTCAATTCCTTGGTGGCGCTCTCATTCATAAACTTGAAAAGGGCAAGGAGCGATTCAAGATCCCTCTTAAGCTTATGGTGAGTGAACAACATGCGCGAGTATGGCGAAGACTAACTCTATAGGTTCATCAATGGCTAGGCCGCACTATTGCACTGCTTGGACTTGCTCAGATCCCACTTGGCCTGACACTATACGGGTCACCACTGGCCTTGTTCATCCTTTTCGCAGTGTGGACTTTCATCTTAGTAATCCTCTACTTCGTCCTCTCCTACAGGACCCAGCCCGAGATGGACTTTGATGACCGTAGCACCTACATCACCGACCGCTCATACAGTACCAGGATAAGTCGACGCACGAGCAGAGGCCCTGGCGCTGGAAAGCTCGCAGCAGCGGGAGCAGCCGGTGCAGGATTAGCCGCGCTGGGGTCAAGAAGATCTCGAAGCCGCACCCGCAGCAGGCATGGTGGCACAGTCCTTAGTTCCCGACCCGACTCTCGGTCCCGCCGTGATTCTCGATCCCGCGTCGCCGACTCTGAGTTCACCGAATCGTACTTGAGTGATGAGAAATACCGCGCCGATGGCAACAAAGGTTCCACTTGGAAGGACAAGCTCCTAGGAGTTGGGGCTGCAGCTGGTGGTATTTTCGCCGTCAAGAAACTATTCAATCGCAAACCAAAACATCCTCCGACCGAGACAGGGAGCGACTTCAGTTACAGCCGCCCATTGGGACCATCCGAGGTCACTCAGACCGATATCTCTAGGCTCGAGGAAGGAAGGGCACCCGAATCTCCAGCAAACCGTCGAAACGACTGGCGTCGAGACAACCCACAAGCATCGGCTTTGTCTGGAAGTGCTATGCGACCTGGTCACCGCCCAACTGGAAGTGTCACCTCCATTGACTCTTTCGATAGCCGGACAAGCCTCAGCGAAGAAACTGAAATGAGGCCTAGGGATCGGCAGTATGGACTAAAGGAGGGTGTTGCTACCATGGGAGTCGTCGGTTTCCTAAAGCATTCTCTCAGCAAACGCAGCAAGAAGAAGG